TATAAGTCCGCTAGGAGTCTAGGGCTAGAGCGCCTTCTATAGGTGCCCCTAATAAACCCCCTATTTACCTTCGATTTATACGAAACCTATTTACCTTCGATTTATACGAAACCTATACTATTCTATAGTAAAAATTAAAGGCTATTAGAATCTTTAATCGGTTTCTTTATCCGATACTTCCTTCCTAAGATATTATTACCTTTATCCTATCCTTCCTCTATTAATTTTATCCTTCTATTTCTCTATTACTATTCTATCCTATATTATAACTTAACCTCTTCGATCGTTACCTAGTTATACCTTAGTATATACTAATAATATTAAATAAAAACTTATTTTTATATTTTTATTTATAAAATTTCTAAATTAAATCTTAGAGAATTTATATTTATAATTAATTTATATTATTTATTTATTAATAGTTTAATAATAATATTTTAAAAAAGATTTAAATTTTAAAATTAATTTTATATTAAAATTACTTTATAAAGATTTTTATAAAATTCTTATTAATTTATTTTTAAAGTAATATTTATTATAATAAATAATTTACTTTTAATTTCTTTTATATTTTAATTAATTTATTAATTAATTTAGTTTAATTATAAATAAAGTAAATTAAAGAATATAAAAATATTAAATTAAAGGCCTCGATTAAGGAAAATAGCTAAATTAATAAATAATTAATATCCTATTATATTAACTTTAACTTATCGAGGCTATAGAATAGGGCCTCGATATTACTTATACATCAGACCTTATCGCTGATATATCGGCGATAAGACGCCATGGAGAGACTAACGCCCAGGTCTTTATAGTGACCTAGAGATGTCATCCGCCTGAGGTAATTCGACGGCTCCATATCAGCCTTCTCTCGCCCAATGCAACGGCTTTCGATGTTTACTCACGAGTGGAAAAATCCTCAAACAACATGGCAGATCAGGCCTATTTAGATGATGGTGTCCCCATCAGTGGCAGCTTCCATGACAGCATCAATATTGAAGCCGACAGTGCCAGTATGCTTAGTCGAACACAGCCTGTCTTTCCACCTCTTCGAAACGACGACATTGCCGACTCGCCGTCCACAGATGCACAGCTGCCGCCTGTAGCCGGTATCGACGACAATGATGACAATGAGCCTGCAATAGCCAAACCCTTCGCCCGAGCCAACAGCCCTGAGCCCGCCGGTCGAGGCCCCGCCCTGGACGACAAAACACATGAACGTCTATTGTATAAGATGCATAAGTTCAGCCTTTACGAGACGGCCAGTCGTTACTACATTGTGGGTGGTGATGTAACGGAGCGACGATATCGCATCCTTAAAATCGACAGGACTACCGAAGATTCCGACCTGAGTATCACGGACGACAAAATTGTATATAGTCAACGAGAGATGAACCAACTTCTCGACACTATCGACGATGGCAATAAAGGCACCGGAGGTATCAAGCTGCGTTGTACGACATGGGGCTTGCTTGGATTCATTAAATTCACGGGCCCTTACTACATGCTCTTGATCACCAAGAAAAGCACTGTCGCCATGATAGGGGGCCACTATGTGTACCAGATCGATGGAACTGAGCTCGTGCCACTCACCCCCGCTCGATTCAAAACTGATGTGCGCAATACTGAAGAGTCGCGGTTCCTGGCCATTCTGAACAACCTGGATTTGACTAGATCATTCTACTATAGCTACTCGTACGATATCACGCGGACGCTGCAGCATAATATGGCTCGAGAGCGGGAGGCACTCGCAAAAGGGCTATCTTGTACCCCTGATGATGACTTCAATGCTATGTTTGTTTGGAACAGCCACCTTCTGCAACCTGTTGTGCAAGCTCTCAAGGATCCCTTCGACTGGTGCCGCCCTATCATACATGGCTATATTGACCAAGCAGGTAAGTGACGACATTCTACTACCATGGCGCTAATCTCATCACAAATCCGCTTCCAGCGCTTTCGATATATGGACGGACGGCGCATATCACCATCATAGCACGGCGGTCCCGATATTTTGCTGGTGCCCGTTTTCTTAAGCGCGGCGCGAACGATTTGGTAAGCCCTTCGACTTGGAACTGGACTGAGCCCCTGAACTGATGTGCATGACAGGGTTACGTAGCCAACGACGTCGAGACGGAGCAGATCGTTTCCGAGGCTCTAACCACGTCTTTCCATGCTCCCGGACCGCGGCTCTATGCAAGCCCTCAGTACACATCGTATGTGCAACACCGTGGAAGTATACCCTTGTACTGGACCCAAGACAATACAGGCGTTACTCCGAAGCCTCCCATCGAACTAAACTTGGTGGATCCTTTCTATGGCGCAGCAGCGCTTCACTTCAACAATCTGTTCGAACGCTACGGCGCCCCCATATACGTATTGAACCTAGTCAAAGCCCGCGAACGTACGCCGCGAGAATCCAAGCTGTTGGTCGAGTTTACCAATGCCATCAAATACCTAAATCAATTCCTACCTGACGGGAAACAAATCATCTATGAAGCATGGGACATGAGTAGGGCTGCGAAGAGCCGCGATCAAGATGTCATCGGAACGCTGGAGAATATAGCCGAGTCGGTGGTTACGACCACAGGCTTGTTTCACGACGGAGACGGCAATATCAACCCCATAAGAGTGCAGAATGGGGTTGCCCGCACGAATTGCATCGACTGCCTTGATCGAACCAATGCCGCCCAATTTGTGATCGGCAAGAGAGCGCTGGGACATCAGCTTCATGCCCTCGGCATCTTGGAGGACACGGCTATTGATTACGACACGGATGCTGTTAATCTGTTCACTCACATGTACCACGACCATGGAGACACCATCGCCGTGCAGTACGGAGGTTCTCAATTAGTCAACACGATGGAGACATATCGCAAAATCAACCAATGGACAAGCCACTCTCGCGACATGATCGAGAGCTTCAAAAGGTATTACAACAACTCCTTCCTGGATGGGCAGCGGCAGGAAGCGTACAACCTCTTCTTGGGCAACTACATCTTTTCCCAGGGGCAGCCCATGCTGTGGGATCTTGCGACCGACTACTATCTTCACCATGCAGACCCTAGGTTGTGGTCAGAGAAGACAAGAGGCGATTATATCAACTGGTTTACCCCCCAGTATCTTGAAGCAAGAAGTATACAGCCTCGGAGTGACCCACCCAGCGAGGGCAGAGACATTCCTGTTGCTTTTTTTGACGACTACTGGCTCGAGTATTATCGCCCCTCGACCCTATCGTCCTTCCTGAAGATGTTCCCTTATAAGATGAACTCGACTATCAAGTACATCCCATTCAAATCGACACAGGACGGTCGGTATGACCTTAGCCCTTTTAAAATTCGCAACGAGACCTATCCAGAAACCCAAGAGAAGAAGAAGGCGAAGAAAGAAGTGACCATAGTTGATCCGCAAAGTGCATCGAATTCGCGAGGGCCCGACACGGCTATAACATCACCGGACCGACCGTCGACCGGTACTGGCCGGGGCATTTCAATTCAGCGTTGGTTGCAACCTGCACACGACAAGGTTACGGGTCAGCAAGGTATTATGAAAGCCACGCCAGAGGAACCGTCCGTTTTGCCGAAGACCAAGCCGACGCCGCAGGAGAAGTCCAAGGCAGCGCAATGGACCTTCACAAAAGCTGTGCATCAATCTTTGAATCCCTCAGTAAGCCAGGTTGAGGCGAATGACTATGATCGATACGTCAGCCACCCCCAAAGTCTACCTCTTGTTGTTTCCGCAGAGGAACAGGCTGAGAATGATTCTGAATACCGAGATTACATTAACGGGAGTTGGCATCTTGAAAGTCATTTGCAGACAGGACCGGAAGATGACCCCACCGTCTATGCCGAGCTTTTGCGTGTAGGCGAAAATCCCTTGACGGTGACGGAGGAAGATGCGCAGAAGAAACGATACAAAGCGTACAGGAAGTGGCTACGAGGAAAATCTTTCTTCAAGCAACAGCCAGTGGACTAGATCTGGTTCTCTGACGAGCCAAGTACTGATTGGATGATTGCGAGGCTGATAGCTTACATCTGCTTTGCCCTGTTGTCGAACAGGCCTCCCAAGACTTCATCCTTGGCCACCAGAGGTGCAACCTTCAAGTCCAGCCTTGTGCCCGTCGCTTCAACAGCAGCTGAGAGCACCTCGGCGGTGTATCGCAACTTGTCTAAAAGCTCACGGTGTGAACCATCTCCGCTGTCGTCATGCAATGAAAGCCAACAGACAGCTAGTGCTCTGATGATCTCACTCTCATATGCTGATGTCGACACTCTCGGCCAACAAACTCGAACAATGAGGGCCAATCCATCCAATGTGATTGACAGTCGGGCTGGGAACTGTCCAATGAATGGATCACGGAGAGTTTCTGTAAAAATCGGAATGATGTCCTTGAACAAATTGGTTAGAGAGTGTCTGGCAAGACGGCACACCTTGAACTCGTGTGAACACTACCCACCTTCAGATACGGCGAAGAGGCGAATCCTGAGTCATGGACAAGGGTGCTTAGTTGTTGCAAGAGCACATTTGTGACCAGGAGGAACTGAGAGGCATGCATATATCCACCACACACCTCGCGTATTAGCCGTGCCCGAATCCTCTGCGCAGAGGGGACAATTTTTGGGTCTTTGGCATACTGCCTCGCCAGCTCGATGACAGCCGGGTACGCGGCTTGTAGGAGCAAGACTGATTCGTCCTCTGGCGTCAGTGACGGTAAGTGTGAGAGGATCGGAGTGATAGACTGTTCCAAAATGTCGCCCAATCCCGTGTCGTATAAGAGGGAGGGAGAACATTTCTGTACAAACACCTGTGATATCTGTAGGCCGCGCGCCTTGATCCTAGCCTCTGGGTCATCTAATAGCGCCAACAATACTGGCGTGTATAGTGGCCATTTCTTGCCGATGAATAGTTCCTGCCCGTTCATCAGTAGTCCGGCCGGCACGAATGTGGTCAAGAAATAGGCTCTACCTCTGAATTGGCCACTGTCCAAGAAAAAACGCTCAGTGCCCAAGGATGCGCGCTCTTCCAGGCCGTGGAATCCGCGGTATCATCTTTATTGAATACAGCCTCGTTTTGCTGTGCTTGGCATGGGTACTGGGATTTTCTACCCGTTGAAGTGATCCGCGCCGATTTTGACCGAGAGAATAGTGGTCGCAAGACGTCTTCGAGAATAGAAGTCAAGATGAAGTCCCGTCTATTGACTGTGTGACGAACATTGGTGTCTAGGATGCCCTGTGCGATCTTCGCCGACACCCCGTCATACCAAGCTGCTTGGGGATCTGTAAAGGCACAGACAGCCACGAAAGTATCAAGATCAATGACGCAAAATTGGCGTGAAGAGAGTATCGAAAGCGATGAAAGAAGGTGATGGACTGCTTCTAGCCACTGTTGCGCATCTGACTCTGCAGCGTTACAGGGAACTTGGAGTAACCTCTCAAGCGAGCGACCAGCGAAGACGCAGATCTCATTCAAGGCCTCCTGATCATCGCCCAGCCGTACACGGTGCTCCAGACCACGACGCAGAGTCGAGGCTGCATCGACCTTGAATGTATCATTAGTTGAGGGTACGTTGCAGTCAAAGTCTGGTTTACTTGCTGGGGAGCGAATGTGAGATAATTCTCTGACTAGATCGGTGAGGCTAGTCATTTGTCACATAACACGGAGGCGTAGAAATCTCTATTTGCCCGTGGCTATGCGATGTAGCCTCAGTGAGGCAGTGCCGTGGCATTGGCAATTTGTGTTTTGGCCTTATAGGAGTGTGTGGCCTTGATACATGAATGCGTTTGTGAGTGAGTGCCTGGTGCTGTTGTCCCACGTGTGATGGACGCAGACGGAGCTACCGCGTTAGGGATATAACATGCTTTAGAGGGATATGGAGAACCACCAAGCATCATTCATCGATCTTCTTGTATCCAATCACTTACGAGTTCAAAATTGGAACATATCAATTTGTCCCTCTGTTGAACCACCAACAAGGCAACTTAGGCTGGATGTCGGCTCAAGGCAGATTCAAGTGTGGTCAGGGTATCGGTGACTTTATGTTAATCCGTCTATCTGCAACTCGTGCTTCCTCTTCCGTACCTCCTCAATGGCGCCCGTGGGATCCGTAGCTTCGGGATGTCGTAATTGCCACGCCAGGCATACCTCCAAAGCAGCACCCATCCATTTCCCTGGCTTGAGACCAAGATGCTTGCCTAAGCATTTGCCGTCTACAAGCCGCTTAATTGATGTTACATCCATCAAGCCCTCGTCAGTCAGGTGATCAAGAAACGTCTGCCAACCAGATAGCAAGTCATGACATCCTCTCGACACTGGACCCAACGTTAGCTTTCTCGACAAGAAGAACCTCACGTATGTGTTCAACCCACCCTTGTTGATATCGAAGTCCGGCAGGTGGTCCATGGCATCGAGGAGTATAGTGCTGAGGACCTGCAGCTTCCAGTGTGACTCGCGGCCTTCCCATTTTCGGATGGTCATACCAAGTGTATCTCTTTGACTTCCAATCTCACGCCCAGCGCATACGTCTCTCTTGAGACCAAGGATCTCAGAATGATTACGGTGCGCCGCCGTTATCACATCGCAGAGTTTGTTGGGTACTTTTGCGCCCTCACGTGCAACCGTGGTAGCAACTGGTAAAGATGGCCTACCTCTGTTAAGAGCGTCGGCGCGGGGGTCGGTTAGATGCGCATAGGGCACGAGTGAAGCTAACATCCACGAATGATATACATCCTCGTCCGTACGAACTAGGACGTCATGTATGGATCCCGGTGCTTTGCTGCGCTCGAGAAGCCTCAGAAGCCCATAGGCAATATGCCATTTGGACAAGATTGGATGAGGGATATCAGCACGAGCAGTATCTGTGTAGATAGCATGGTGGAGGCCCAATTCGTCAATGAGTTGAAGAGCGCGATGGGGGTCATGGCCTTCTGCTCAGTTAGCACGTGCTCCTATAGATTACTGATCGGGGCCACTCACCCTTCATCATCTTCTCCAACTCTACACCCACTCGCTCCCTGCTGATCTTGATGCGCAGGGCAGCCAAGACATTTGGGTCGGCCATGACATCTCTTGCAGCTGGGTCGATGGCAAAACCGAGCCGACTGGCAAAACGAACCAGTCTGAGAACTCGAAGAGGATCATCCATAAAAGTCTGGAATGGTTCTAAAGGTGTGCGGATGAGCCGGTCACGCATATCAGCTAGGCCGCCTGTGAAATCCTCGACCTTCTCGGTGTGCAAGTTGAAGAACAGGGCGTTGACTGTCGCATCCCGCCGCAAAGCATCCTCTTCGGCTGTGCCGAAATCTATGGCAGGGTTCCGGCTGTCTTCGGCGTACGTCTCTGTGCGAAGATTGACGAAGTCGAGGTCAAGTCCAAAGACTTTTACTGTTGTGGTCTCGAGATTTTTAGATTTCTCAGGGTTGGCAGCGATGCGGTGGAGGTTACCAATATCGTCAGGCTCGATACCATGCCGCGATGCAAGTTCGGGCACATCGCAGTATTCTCGCAGCCTCTCGCCAAAACGGAGGCCAGTCATAACATTGATGGCCACATCGATATCGTGACTAGTCGTGCCGAGAAGCTTATCACGGACCCAGCCACCAGCCCATCGCAAAATCAGTGGTTCTGGCAGTTGATCATTGATGTTGATGAATTTAGAAACACCAATGAGAAGATCCCTAAGTTGGCGTTCTCGCTCGGTGAGTTGAAGTTGGATGGTAGATGCGTCAGCCGCCATGGCATTGTTGGGTCTTAATCGTGCGGAGGGTGGGAAGCGACTTGCACATGCGGAAAGGGCAAGCTTTCTCTTCATGACCGAACTGATAATTTGACGATGCTGAGGGCCTGGAAGGACCTGGGCTAGGGGCCGGAGCATGACATGTCCCTCCCTGTCTGGTCTTCTGACGCATCGTGATGCGAGTGGGCTTTGAGCCCTTTGCACAGTTCCACTCTACGTGCGCCCACCACCGACTAAGCGCACAGGTCCCGTGTCAGGGAAGGGGCTGGCACTGGGGAGTGGGCGTGTGTCTACTAGGTACCTAGGTACCTAAGAGAGCCAGTACGGCTGGCTACACTGACCAGCCCAAGTACCGTTAGGGGTTGGAGCGTGGCGAACAAATGTGGGTCTGCTTGATCTAGGCCCTGCTGTGGCTGACTAGTCACCAGACATTCTTGATGCGCGCTCTCTACCTCGAGGAACATTGCACTTCAAGATGCGCCCCCATCAACCGGCATTGGTCGGCTTGACACCCGATCATTGATAAGTCACCCTAATGGCGCGAGAGCAGCGCTAACGCCGCTGACCACTGAGCTGGGTGCTTTACTTGCCTATGTTCAAAGCTTAGCATGCAACATCTGCCAGGCGGGGCGAGCTTGTGGGGGAACTTGGAGACGATGATGTATCGGCAGACAAGGCAGGTGGTGCGGGAAGCCGGCGTGTGATGGGTCATGGGGCCACCGACAGCTGGACGAGCTTTCGGAAACTGCCCGTGGACGCAGCTCGAAAGAGCCCAAGCTTCACTCGATATGCAAACTGTTCTATGGTGAGCGATCTGCGAGCTGGGTAAGCGGCCATCTCCCATGCACCACCCCTTCTTCCATTACTCATTTGGGAGGCAGCTCTCCCCCGCCATGTGACGTCAATTGTAACGCGTTGTCAGCAACCCTTCACCACATGTAGGTAGGATGAGATGCTAGTCGAACGACAGCCAGCAGCAGGGTTCCAGTGTACCTGGTACATCTCCCCAAAACACTAATGGGTCGCTGGTGCTTGTGCTCAGATACGGTAACCACATCAGCGCCATCAAGTGTGACAACTTTGTCGTGTTGTAGGCGAATCCCCAAGCATCCCTGGTGATGATGCAGACTCAGTAGGGAACTCGGGACATGCCGGACGATTGAGGCGAGAAGGCCATTTGCATATTACCTGAGCGGGCTGTGTAGTACCCGCTCAGCCATGATGTCGAGTCGGGAACAGGTAGGGTCAAAAGCGTAGGTACAACGCATGACAGGTCAGGGAGGAAGGTGTGAGGTTATAGACAACCCCGCATCCGATCAGCTACAACTAAGTCCTCCCACTCAGGCGTGCTCAGGCGACTTAAATATCCCATCGCTGCCGCTCCCAACCATCCGAATCCATCCTTTAAACACCACCTCCTTACACATAACCTAGTCAATACCGTTCGCCAAGATATCATTACTACAGTAGAACATACCATCCTCACCCGTCCTCCTTGTCCTTACATCTGACTACATTCCCACTTGCACCACTGTGTAATTATCACCATGAACAGTTAGCAACCCGCCCGCCATCTCGTGAACTCTGTGCGCTGCTGTGCAGCCGGCTAATCATGGCCCAATTTGCCGGAAAAAATAGATCAAGAAAGAATGGGAAGCTCATCTCCTCAAGCCATCAAGCTACAGATGGACCAGAGTGCTGTTGACTCCAGCGCTGGTAGCCCCCCAGCCTTGTCGTCATCGCCGTCCGACAGACGTGCAAGCACCGATGAATGGGGTAAGGCATGACCGGCAACGGCCGCTCGGATTGCCGTTATTCACTCATTTGCTGACATGCCGGGCAGATGCCTCGAAGGTCCCCCCGAGCCGGTTCCAGAAACGCAAGGGTTCAATCTACGCAACACCCGGCTCACGGGATGGTCACGTCGACCGAAACTATGCCAGTGGCTTCCACGAGAAACATACAGAGAAAGGTTACGGAAAGGCCGAGACCAAGCACTGAGACCCTAGCCATTGATTGAGGTCACTGGTTGACGGTTGCAGCTGCGAAGTCCGCAATGATTGTTGTTGAAATGTGTACACGACCCCCCAGTATCAATTCTTGTCTCGTTTCGGCAACCCGTTGTCTGCAGCGAGCATTACCGCGCTGCAACAACGCTGCCTTGTATTTTGTCTAGTAATCAATGCCGAGTTACGAACGTTATCACTCGTCCGCATCATCAATATCGATGGCGTCGGGGTTGGCTGCTGTTGTATCATCGTCATGAGTTCCAGAAATCGTAGGACCATCGGTCGCAGCTACAAAGCCCACAGGCGCCCTCGCCTGGCGTTCCAACGCAGCCATTGCATCGGCCGCATCTGCGTCTGTAGCGTCCTCCGGTCTTCGTTGGCTGCGAGCTAGGGCCTGTGACGCAATGAAGCTGACGTCTGTGTTGAACTGAGCCTGCACGCTCCTCTTGATACGAAGCATCTCCTTAAACGTGTCCTCGTTGCCATGCTGGACTTCAAACGATTCCCACTTGGTCCAGAATTCTGGGCTTGTGCGAGGGTCGCAAAATTGCGATGCGTGACCATAAATCGCCCTTGCTCGATCAATTTCTCCGAGTCGTTTTTCCATATCGGCAAATTTCATGCACATGTCTCGTGCTTCCGTGTCTGGCAACGATGATATGGCCCTTTCGTAAATAGGACGAGTTGACGGCAAGCCGAAATTGGAGGCCGATTTGGTAATGTAAAAGTTGAACATTCCGGCGCGGTCTTCATCGGCAACAGCCCGTGTAGCTCGTTCGTATATGCGCATGGCATGTCTTGCGAGACCCCGCTCCTCCTCCAAGTTGCCGTACATGAGGTATATCGTCTTGGCAAACTTCGGTGGACAATCCTCAACGGCTTGTTCGAAGAGGTCACGAAGACGCTCAATGCCAATCTTACGGTCGACAGCCTTGGTAAGATACATATTCCAGAGCTCGAAAGCGACCGGGTAGCTGAAGAGGTCCAGTCCGCGTTCATAGATCTTGAACGAATCTTCGTAGTATTCGTGCTCCTCCAAGAGGTTTGCGTAATTAACGACAGTTTGGGGAGTTGCTATGCGCAACTCAAAGATTCTTTCGTAAACCTTCTTTGTGTCGTCCAACGAGCCAACGCTTTCAACAAGATCGACATAGAAGCTCCACAGCTTCCAGCTCTTGTGTACTCGCTGTTGAGGCGACAGTGTTTCGTCAAAGTAATCGACAGTCGACCGTTTCGGCGCCTGAACAGCTTTCGCCATGATGCGGACTGCGTCATCAAAATTGTCATTCCGCAGCTCCATCTCAGCCCATTCAATCCAAATATCGGCAAGCTCCGCGACAGATCGGAAAGGCACCTTGACCGCCTTCTCTGCGATGATGCGGGCGTTGCGCATGTCGCCGCCGCGCTCATAGAATTTGGCATAGCCAGCCCAGAGTTGATGGAACGGGCCGACTGCCTTTTTCGGTTGTATGGCAGCAATAGCGGCGGTGTATGTCTGGACAACTTCCTGCTTATTATCACCCCAAAGTGCGATTCGCTTCTCCCACTCGAGGACGTTATTCGGGTTTTGGCGTAGAAGTACGTCGTTTAGTAGAAACGGCCTGCGGTCCATGAGCTGTTCAAATCTCAACATCCGAATATCAAGTTCAAAGTCCGCGTCTTCATCCACAACGCCTTTCGCCGCTCGATTGGAGGCAACCTCCATCAACGCCCCGATAACCGACTCTTCGAATTCGGTGTATGAGTCGAAGATTAAGGTAAAATCCCGAACAGTCATGACTGTTACGATACCTTCTTCAAATACGTCCCTTGTGCGCTCAAAGCTTCCGCGTCTGATCCAATACGTGGCCAAACCACACCATAGTTTGCCTCGTTGATCAGCGTATCGTGTGATGCCGCTTCTAATGATTCGCTCAACATCAATACCGGTTTCATGACCCGTAAGTATCTCAGTAGCATGATCAACGATTAGGTCCACCATTTCACTCCAAAGTTCGAAATGGCCTTTGCCATGCTTGCTGATAAAGCGAGTGTTGTTCAGGACGTCGATGTATTTCTTGACGGCTTCAGTGTACAGGCCAACTTGAATCAATAGTTCGATGAAGTCTTCAGTATCTTCAGGATGGATCTGTATGTACCGCCGCCATATCTTTACTGCGCTGATGCCTGAGAGTGAGTCGGCAAAAGGCCTGTAAAGTCTCCAGATGCGCGAATGTTGAGTGACAGGTAGCGCGCGTAATGCACGGTCGAAGGCATGTCGAGTGTTTGACACCAAGGGTTGTCGAAGGAGGAACTTAAGATAGAGTTCCCATATACGAGGCATCTTGTTGAGTAATATCAAAGAGCGTTCGAAAAGGGCGTTAACCTTGCGATATTCGGCAGCGAAAATAGCGGCATTCAAACGACTGACGTGTTTGACGCGGAACTCGAGATACTGTGCTCTTGGGTAAGCAGGATGTTGACTTTTATACCATCATGTAGGCTCACCATCTTCCATAACTTATAGGACCTCGGGAGCTGCAGGCAGGCTCTTTCAAAGACGAAGGCTTGTTCATGAATCGTACCATGTTGCAGTTTGAATTGGATGTATGCCAGCCATGGCTTAGTGCTCCCACCGTTTCGGAGTATGTCTTGTTCGTAAACTGAGTCCTCGTCGGCCTGGAGGAGTTTTTCTGTCAGCTAGCAAACAGACAGTGCCTAGATGAGAGACTTACCACAAGGTTCATGTCAGAGCGGACGCGACCGCCGTTGATGACCGTGAGCGCCGGCATGTTGACAGAAGTGACGGCTACGAAGCCATTGGTCGTCCTAGGTTGGCTGGAAAATCGCAGTTCGGTTTAACTGCTGGAAGCAACGGATCGAATACCGGAGTCACTCGTGGTCAACAAGGCGTCATTCGACGTCGTAATTTGGCGTAGCTTTGATAGGAAGGCCTCAGTTAGTCTAGTTAACCGAAGGCGCATTCGCGGTTGTCGATCCTCCTAGGGACGTGCTGTGTCGGGCAACAAACCAGGAAATGTTAAAGTGGGATATAGCCCCGCTTAACTGAATAACATGCTTATGGCTCCCTATCAGAACTTCGATAGGCAGCCACTAGCCCAGTTGAACGGTATCTCAATCCTGCTTGAGATGGGCATCGAGGTAGGTCTGATGTCGACGGTAGTTATGTAGAAGAGTATCGTCATCCTGTACTAGAACCTCAACACCACTGTCGCCCGACACCCGCTCGAACCTTCCCTGGCCCTGATCTTTCGCACTGCAGCTTCTGAATTGACTCAAGGCTTGGACCCTGTGTGTTTTGAGCTGCGCCATTACTCCGCCACCATCCAGCTCTCCAGTATCCTACACGAAACCTACCATCATGTCGGGTGCCGCTGTACGTATATCATGCTGCTGTTGTTGGAATTGATGTCAGCAGTGACACTGTTGCTGATATCTTTGTCCACCATGACAGGATCGAGAGGCCGTATTCCCAACCCGGCAGTCGCTGGGTCTGATGAAGGCGAAGCTGAAGGGCGCAGAGACGGGTCACAGCTTGCTGAAGCGGAAGAGCGAGGCACTCACGAAGTACGTATGCATTGCCGCTACTCAATCAAGTATTCTACTAACTTGTGGCTATCCTAGGCGTTTTCGGGGTTAGTTTACCAAGCCTGTTATCTTCCCTGATCCGATTGCTGATATTATCGCGACAACACTAGAGATCACAAGACGAATTGACGAAGCCAAACGTAAAATGGGTCGCGTAATGCAGATTGCGTCTTTCTCGTTGGCAGAAGTCACATACGCCGTCGGGGGCGACATTGGGTACCAGATCCAGGAGTCTGCGAGGTCAGCGCGCTTTCGTGTTCGCACCAAGCAGGAGAACGTTTCTGGAGTGCTTCTGCCGACCTTTGAAAGTTACGTCACTGAAGGGAACAACGACTTTGGACTCACTGGCCTCGGCAAGGGCGGCCAACAAGTTCAGCGTTGCCGCGAAACCTACGCTCGTGCTGTGGAGGCCCTTGTCGAGCTAGCCAGCCTGCAAACTGCTTTCGTGATCCTCGATGAGGTGATCAAGGTTGTTAATCGTCGAGGTATGTGTTCTCCCACCCGTGCGATGTTATACCCAACTAACTGATGAATAGTGAATGCAATGTAAGACTCCCTGTTTGCACGTTCCCCTGACATCGAGTTGCTGACCATTGGTAGTGAACATGTTATCATCCCACGCACCGAAAACACGATCAAATGTTGGTGTGCCGATGATCCCCTCCCGTGGTTTTTGCTGACCGAATCGCAGACATCAATTCCGAGCTCGATGAACTGGACAGAGAAGAGTTCTACCGCCTGAAAAAGGTTGCAGGAAAGAAACAAAGAGACACCGCTGCGGCTGATGCGGAAATGAAGGCGAAGAGAGAAGCTGCTCTAAGCAGGACCGGACAGAATGATAAGGTGGACGACGGCCCTACTGACTTGCTAGCCGCCGAGGAGGACAACGACGTTATTTTCTAGGATACGGAGACGTGCCATGAGGAGCATGTTGGTACGGGACTAATTCGATGAGGTATAAGGACCACCCAGGCCTGCAGGACATGGACGCGGACAGAAATGAGTAATAGCAGGTCCGACTGGCCCAACACTTGTCTCGATACCTAAGATGCAAGCACTGTAAGAACCATTGCCTTGCAATCGTGAGTAGTGATGCAAATTTCGGGGTTGATTCTACTGTCGCTGGTAGGTTACCTTGATGGTGCTGGATTCCCCAAGCACCATGCCGGCTGTGTTTTCCTTGGCTGTGATAGCCCCTTGCTCGCCATCATATTCAACAAACGCAATGCCCCGTCTCCCAGGGACCAGTCTCACTTCGCGGAAGCCGTCAAAACGACCGAATATGTCTGTCAATGCTTCAATATCGAAGTCCTCCGGGAGATTCTGGATGAACAAAATCTTGTTTGGTGGCAAATACTCGTCGGGCACAACGGAAGATGCTGCTGGGTTGCTCGACTTGAGGCCCGTACCCCTCGCCGCCTTGGCTGGTCGACCTGCGGCGTCAGTTGCAGCGCCAGCACCAGAGCGCTGCACGCGCTTCTGTTCTTCGGCAGCCTCGAGGGCTCGTTTTTTATCTGCAAAATCCATCAGCAGGCAACATATACTGGTATGGTATGTTTGGAGCTCACCTTTCTCTGCCAGCCTGCGACGTCTATGCGCTTCAAAATCTTCCTCGCTCCCTTGCGTTTTCACTGTCGCATCGCTCCTAGTCTTAGCCAGCGCAACTTGCATTGGCTTGTCGAACAGCTCGAAGCCCTGGACTTCGTCAATGGCGTTCTGTGCTGAATCCGCGTCGTCGAACACGATGAACGCCTGACCCTTTGACTTCAGGTTGGTTTTGGCAATAATCTCGAGTACATTTCCGTACTCGGAGAAAATCTGAAGGAGCGATTCCTTCAAGACATCAATCTTGACTCGTTCCTCGAGATTGCGAACGTACACCCTGAAGCGCGGGTCAGCCAGCGAGCCCAATGCCAGACGTGTCGGGGTGCAATGACACGTACGTGGCGATTGAAGGGCCGGATGCCATTTTTGATAGAGAGTCTGATTTCCAGCTCTAACGTCGGCAGTAGTGGTTTGTGGTAAGCCTACAGAACAGTCCTGTTAGATGCAGAGCGGGAAAGGTTCATTGCGATATGACGCATCGATAGCTACATATATGGGTTAGCATACTTTGCCAAGCTCACTTATATGCATCGCATAAATGTTTAACCAGTGTATCAGGCTATCCAGCTATTATGTTGAATACATAGGAATACGCAGGGTCCGGGTCGCTATGTTTCTAAAGAGTTCTTATTGTTGGCGCAAACTAGCTCTACCTGTGTCTGGCAGTCCCTACAAATCATTTCTTCCTTTAAGCCATTGCAAGGCAAGTCTGGTTCTACACGATATCAGAAAGAGACTGGGCACACAAATCAGTGACTTAGTCGTGAGTCATATCATTGCAAAGGGCTGAGTACAAATAGTTCCCCATGGCCATGAATTGTGTGTATGCATGGGACTGCTCATGAGCAGGAAGGTTGATATCGAGCAATGCTGTGTATTCGAGTCTCCAACAAACCTAAACGCCGAAATTACATGAATCCGCTCATTGCATGCATGCATTAGTTCCTAGCTATGCTTGCGAGTTGTCACTGTTCTGCTCTGCGGTCGAAGCGGCGACCGCGGCCTCTTCATCCCCGCCATCTGCCCTTGGCTCGTCTAGAGCTAGATCGCGTTTCAGATCGGGAACAAATCGATCAATCCTATTCCATGTTTCACTCCACAGCGTCTCCTTCGAAGCGTCCTGACTCGGCGCAACAAGAAAGCCACTGCTTGACATGAAGAGTATAACATTCTTTAAATTTTCACGGACAGCCTCCTCCTATTCAGAATGTTAGCAAAATTACTGTCAACCTCACCGTGTTCGCATTAATCGCTTACCAAACTGTCACCCTGCCCGCTATTTATTAAGCGATCCATGATATCAATGATCTCCAACCACAGGTCAAGCATGCCGTCCCAAGTAGAAAGCAGAACAAGATACTGCAGGAAGACCTTGCAAAGCAACGATGATGACTGAACTCTCATCTCACCCATGCCATCTCGATCGGAGGTGAATACCTCCGGCTTCAAGAGACGATGGATCAAGGGAAATAAGACTTCGCCAAAAATCGCTGTCCACTCCTGGTGGTCGCTGCAAGTCACGTCAGGTGACAATAAAGATCGCTGTAGTGAAGTGAAAGCCAGGAGTCGAACGTCCCTGCATGGGTTGGTGCATTGAGCTGTCAGAGCTTGGAAGATGGGTAGCCAATACGCCGACCAAGCTACAAACAAGTTAACTCTGCCATTCTCTAAAGCAAGAGTGTGCAGCTTACCCTCTTTGCTTTCTAGGTGAGATTGTTTCATGAGTTCAGGAATCCGGCTGGTCGTGTTGTACATTGTTGTGATAGACCTTATGCCTCTGGTTACAGTATCACTATTTCCTAATATTAGAGACAGCTCACATCACATTTTGGACGCACTTACCTCGGCGGCTCACGCTCAGAGTCACGGGACTTGCGGGGTCTTTGCTCTTGTTTTCTTTCCGCAAGGACGGCACGCCCAGCTGCAGATGCAAAGTCGCCGAGCAAAAGGAGCGCCGCCTCGTAGTTATCTGCCATTATCGCAGGAGGTACGCCGGTACACCCCCGTTCGAGAAGATCAAACACGACAGCTGCCGAATCGTATCTTCCAGCCAGGGCTCGCATGATGGACCAGAAATCAGGCGAAGTCATGATCTCGTTCCTGAGAGGACCCGGTTCGACAACGCAGAGTTTCAGCCCCTGAATGAGCATCACGGATGACTTGGCAAGCGTTTCCTTGGGGAAGTTGGAGATGGTGTGCAATAGGACTGGGATGTTAACGTAATCCAGGGTCTGCAGCTTGGAGCATCAGTAAAGTATACATCAGAGACTAAGATGACACCACCTTGTGAATATCAGGATTGTGACGTACATGGGTTGCGTGAAGGAGCGTGAGGAGGTAAAAGGACGTTCTTGAGACAATCATTGCGTGATACTGGTTGGCATCCCGCAAGATGGCCTGCAGAGTGTCCATGACTTGCTTTCCAAGAACCTGCAGAGTCGCTTCGTCACGCAGGGCGAGTCCTGCCATCATCTCCAGTGAGAAAACCATAGCGGGGTCATACGACAAGGTGCCAAGTTTTGGTTCAAGCTGAGTCGCAGGAGGCACATGATCCGATTTGACGGTTATGACTGCAGGATTCTGCTCTTCGGGCAGAGAGCTGATCAGGCCATCAACCAAGTGCGCCAGCTCAGAAGCACCTAGCTCGCTAGCAACATGTCAGTCATATATACAGCCAACCATATCTCGTGTCTTACGTTATGTTGGCAAAAACAGTCGCCATGTGACACGAGTTCACGCAGTCGACAGAGCAAAGGGTGCTCTCCAACTCTTCGTCTGACGGCTCGGGGGGGTCATCAGCTGCATAGCTAGAGATGTACGACGTAAATGCTGAGAAGAACCCTGTTTCTGCTGTTTTTGAAGCTCGATCAATGACTTGAGACGGGGTTTGAAGAGGAATGGCAGGAATAACTGCAAGTGTAGAATCGGCGACGGACGGTGCAGGCATCAACGAGTTGACAAACAAGTTGAGCCAGATACGGATGACCTGTATTGCGTAAGTTGGTCAGTGTTGAAGAGAGCGAGGCCAATCTGTCCCACTTACGTGTCTCCAGCCCTTGTGTATGTGACTCTCGCTTCCCGTAACCACTCTAAAGAGGACCAAGGTAGCAAGCTGTGCTCTGAAGTCCCTGCCCAACTTGACCGCGAGTTCGCTCACCATGACCGTGTTGTTCCCAGCTTGAACCTCTGTGTTGAGGTTGGTGCTGAACGGAAGGTCGGTGGCCAGTGTTGTCATGTGGCTCAGGGAGTACACAATCTGGTCAAGAGCCTCGCTGTTGCCGAACTTGGTTGCGATTCTGGCGCATTCATCAAAGCCAGTAACAATCCTAGCGAAGACGGCGTCATCAGTAGCCGACATGAACACGTAGGACAGAGTCGAGACTATCGGGCGCCATGTTGTTGCGAATATGTCGGCATCGTATATGTTGGTGTCGCAGAGGACTAATGGCCCAACAATCTCCGTTTTTGCCAATAGCTCACGCCAAGCATAGTCAAATGCGTGCTTATTGTCGTGTTCCTCAGGCAGAATGATCTCATTGTTTCTGATCGAGTTAAAGATTTCTTGAAGATACTCGGGTGCGAAGTTACCCCCGTCGTTTACACCACGTAGATTCTTCGAAAAGTCCTCTAGAGTCATGCGTTTCGATGTCTTCTTGACGGTCGGATTGTGCTGGTCTGTATTCAGCAGAATGATGGCGTACGTCAAGACGAACACGGCATCCTGATTTGCCACCTCGGTCGGCGTTGCGTTGGCGCAGTATCTATCGGCAAAGACTGTAACGATTCGCTCAATGAGAGGGGCTTCACCAGGAAGTCTGAAGGTCTCGAGAAGGACCCGCAGAGCTTCGTCGACACGCTTGCCATCGAAATCGAAGAGATCCAAGTACGCTTCCAGAACTGGCTCATTTCCCTTCTTGGACAGGTACTCGCCAAGGACCTTCTTGTTGACTCGTGATGTCGCGTGTAGGAACCTGGCAACCGAGGTCACATTCTGAGCGTCGTCGATGATGCCTTGGGCTTGCAGATAGGCTAACCCGCCTTTTGGAGTCTCGTTGAACTTAGTGGTGCCCTTGATGATGATCTTCTTGCGACGTCGTTGTTCTCGTAAATGGTCCGCTGAAGGAAGATCCTCGGAGGCAGGCTGTAGTTCGAGACGCTCTGCAATGTATTGAACATAACGGAGCAGAGCATCAAGACATAACGGAGGCACACTGGTAGTACTCCAGGTTGCCGAATCGGGCAATGCGTTTCTGGAAAGAAGCCCGACTAGATCTTCGCAAAGGTCCGCACGATCGGGATCACAATCATAGTTGACAAAGAGCTCCGTCATGAAATTTGGCATCCTTGATAGTACTCCGATGCTTTCTACCATTGCTTGACGTGCATCTGGCTTGCGAGAGCCGCCTTCGAGCCCCAGTTTCTGGCGGTCTTTGACAGGAACGGGAGTCGAACGTCCGCTATTTGCCTGTGATGGAGGGGGTTTGACGAGCTTGGGAGCCTGCGGAATGCCGGCGTAGAGAGAAGGGTCAATGCCTGGTTCTCGCGGTATTTCCACGGAGGGGTGTAGACACGCTACAAGATATGATAAGAATAGTTCTTGTTGGAGCTTGAGTACACCCCTGCAAGTCGCAAGAAGCGTGCCTGCCACAATCAGGGACTCTTGAAGAATGGCCATGTTATCAGACCGTACGAGCTGAAACAAGTAGCAGCACAGACGATCTTCAGCGATGGTAGCGAGGGCAGGGTGCCTCGCAATGGAAGGTCCAGATACTTCCAGTGCCACATGAATGATTCGTAGAGCCATGACCCGCATGGTGTCGGTATGCTGACGGTCGGTCGGATCCAAGAAGTTGACGAGAACCCTGAAGAGTTCCCTAACAGAAGGGAGCGAGTATGGTCTCAAATCGAGAGATTCGACATCGTTTGGCTCTTCGGGATTCATCTCGCTGTCTTCGGAGGCATCATTGGCTTCGAGGCTCTCCTTTGGATCCGTAATTTCTGAGCTGGTCGAGGGGCGTGTATTGTCAACTTGAGCCACTGACAGAGAATCGCCATTGATACCCGCGGGCGCAGGATCCATTGTGACATTATCCATGTCTCCGTCGGTCTGACGGTCGAGAGCATCAGGATCAACGCCTGCCTCAAGTTCCAAGTGTTTCACGTCCTCGAAAATGATCTGGCACATGTGCACCATAGCACTCTCTGCAGTCCGTCGGAGAACTGGGGAGAACCGTGGCTGCGAGCATATGGCGAGCCCTCGGCCCATCATGTCACACACACTCTCATCGCTCAGAATGTCTCCTCCAGGCCCCGACATCATATCTTCCATGAGATGCAAAATCATCAACAGAACGACCTCAACTTGCCCAGCGTCACTTGTGTCAAACTGGCAGCGGGTAACTGCAGCCGAGAGTGATTGCATAGCTAGAGGGAACCGGGGAGATGTTGGGCCAATGAAGCCGTAAGCCAAGAACTTGCGAAGTGCTCCAAGAGTCAGAATAGTTATCGGGGCGGCGGTGCCCTTGGTCTGTACGATCTGGAGGAATGGACTCAGTAGTGACACGGCGTCGAAGGTGTTTATATCTGGCAATTCGTTAGCCGTGTCTTTATTGACAGGGAATCCTACAGGCAGCATACCTCGCACGGCGGCAAGTTCGTGGCGTAGCCTGCCAAATCCTGCCATGAGAGGGTTATCCTGCATGCTCTTGCCCTTCTTCCCCCGAAGCCCCCAGCGGTTGGCAAGGCCTCCATCGTTCGAGCTGTCGCCGCCCAGTGTTGTGACTATGGTCTTGGTGCCAGTTTGAAGAGCTGGACTCGGTGGCCCAACTGGGACTGGATTCGGACTTCCTCCCAGGATGGCAGAGACCGAAGAGTGTGGCGACCTCGCATGTTTCTGAATGGCCGACGTGATTGATATACACTCGGATACGACCAGGAACACAGGATCAACGGACACTGATACGGGACAGCTGCGGTACTGCATTCTCGCTGGAACAACCGAAGAACTTGCTATCCTCCGTGCGCCGAGGTTCGAGAGTCCGGCGCCTGGTTCGACATGTGTGCTTGCCGACGTGGTGGTGCCTGCGCTCATGATTCGGGGCTTGGGGGCGGCCTCGAGGCGGCCTGTACGAGTGTCGATATCGAGGTTCCCAAGGTCGTTCTCCTTGTCTAGCGAAAGTCGTCGGGCAAGAGCCTGGTCAGTCAATGCAACTGGACGGACGTCGAGATTGCGTGTTGTAATATCTTGTGGTGTTGCGGAGCGAAGGTGTTCATAAACCTCTGCGCGGCGTTCGTATTTGCCGAATGTGCTGGCTGCAATACGTAAAAGGTCTGGCAGTCTCCCAAGTTCTGGACAGCTTGCTCAGGGCCAGGCTGTTGAGCTTCGCGCTCGAAGCCACCGAGGCTCACAGTGGTGCATTATGATTGGACTTCAGGGCGCCCAGTGTCTGTTCTTAGACCCGCTTTAGCTCATTTGAGTTGCCTGGGACTCGCCGATAAAAGCTGGTGCAGGGCGGCGCGATTAAGTGGGGAGCCAGATGTCAGATCCCATTAGCAACTTTCAAGAGTTCACAGGAGAACTTACGCACCATGTCGCGGGTATCAGTTTACACAAGCATGCAAAGTTGCACCCAGTCTTAGGTGTACCAAGATCTTGCTAACTTATCTCGTTGGCAGTGTGTTTTGTATGTAGTGAAATGGTTTGCTGGTTCAATCGTCCAGGCCATGCTCTTACAATGGCGATTCATTTCCACTTGCTCTAAGCGACTACTTCCTCTCTATGGTGTTAGAACAAAACAAATCCTAATTTACAATCTATGTGCTATCGCCCTTCATAACCTTGGGTGAATTGGCGTGCTCTGCGACTTGCCCTTCATTTGTCTTTTGTTTCTCCATTTTCTGCTCTGCCGCCTTTTCCTCCCCGGACGCGATATTTCGCATCTCTGTTTTATCCTTTTCCCACTGGGGGTTGGCATCGCCAAATTGCTCCTTGATCTTCTCCGCCTTCTCTGCCTTGGCACTCTCTTCCTTAGCTTTTGCGAGTCTTTCTTGTTCCATTTCCTGATGAGGTCAGACTTCACTCCATTGCGCTTCATGATGAATTGGGGGACATACCTCCATATGTTTGACATCATCTACACTGGGTTCATAGAGATGCCAGATTGTGTAGTGAGGCAGTCCGACGACGGAGTAGCCCATGCGCTTAGCCATCTGCAGACATGTCAGTCTAATTTGACGCGCTCATCGTGACAATGCGTGTTACCTTGCCGAAGCCTTCGGTTTCGGCGTGTTTTTCGAAACTGAAGGCCGGGAAATGGACGCCAGATCGAAAAACTCGTGCTTTCGCGAGAATACTGACGCCGCCGACACCATCGATGTCCATCTCCATGTCGGGATCGCCATACGGATCACGGAGGTAGGCGAGGTGGGGACGCCAAGTAGCATACTCGGCGTAGCCCTCAACAATCACCGCATCTTCGTCGAGTGTGTCCGCCAGGGCCAGCGCCGTTTCTGATTCTTGCCACGAGTTCAGATCGTAGGGTTGTTCTCCACCAAGCCAGTCCGGCAATGGCCGCCACACATCTAGAGATGGTCAGCTGATGCGCAAGCGATATTGAAGGGGTATCGACAACTTACTGGGCACAATGACATCTTTGTTGTGGCGCATCAAGTCCTCCAAAATTGTGAAAGGGGCTGTCTCAACGTCAACGTCACGCCAGTAAACCCAAGAATGGTATGGCCGCAGTGCAGCACTCAAAAGCCAGTTGCGTGCCTGTGCCATTAACTTTCTCCTCCCGGCTTGCGCCGCAAAGCCGTGCCTACTTTCCACGTCCTGGTTCACTTTCTGACCAAAATCTTTCTCGATGATAGAAATCTCGCCATATGGTTGCTGTGGATCCTGGTCGGCTTGGATTTCCTCTAATGAATTGGACAGAACCTCCAAAGTTCTATCCTTGGAATCGGAAACGAGGAATGCAAGGTCAATAAGATGATGCGGATACGTAAAGTTTCTCAGATGTGAGAAGAACATTGGCAGGTGCGGTTCTGCGTCACGGAGGGGCACGCAGAGGAGGATGCGTTCCTCTCTTTCCCACCCACGAGCCGTCCCTTGGACATCTGTGAGGTCGTAATAGCGAACCGTCTCCAATTGCACATCGCCACTGCTGGAAAAGACTGCTAGAGAGAATAAAGAGCCCAAGGGGGCGTTCTGTGGCCACAGGAGCAACCCTACTACGAAAAAGGCTATCGCGATGATTCCTAGGCGTAGGAGGAGGCGCTGTCGGCGTCGGTTGGCTGGTGTTGAGCCCCTGGGTTGGTATCTGAGGAGGGATCTGGGTCAATAAAGCCACAAAACCGTGCGGTCGGGATTGTATGGTACACCGCAACCCAACATACCGATGTGGTGATATCTCGAATGTTTTCTCACGGGGATAGCCATTGGCATAGCCCGCTACTTGGTGTCTTGATATCATTGTGTGCTTTGTTCGGCGTGCATGGGACAGTGGAGTCGTAGTCGGGTTCGTGATGCTGCCCCCCTTTGTGGGCGAGAGTGCACCCCGAGAATAGGGCCAGATGACAGGGCGTGTGGCTGGTTAACGGGCCTGTCTGGCGTCGCTGATTCGGGATATGATTGCACGTAGAATGAGGGCGAAGAGGATGTTACCACATGGCCCTGTTGAATAATCAGTCGCTGCGTAGTCGTCGGAAAGATGTGGTCATGGCGGATAAACCAACGTATACCTCAGACGATCGCTACGTGACTTGGGCGGACCTCGCTGATGCTTCTTATGCGCCACTAGACCCCTTCCCCTGCTATTTGCAGGGATATGGTTATTGCATTGACGGTGTATGAGTATAGGCCGTACAGTCAGCCCATAGCCTCGTGCAGTGGTCTGAGCAAATATGGGGAATAACACACCGCGAGTATGACTATTGGTATCCTCTTCAAATCGGATGATACAATCTAGATACTTCAGAAGACTGGGCAAGGAATGGCAAAGGTGCGGTTGTTGATCGACTCGATAACATGAGACCACTCTATATGCTACATTCAACGAAGCCGCCTTGAGTGACTTGAAGGCAGTCTCACCAAAGTACTAAAATGCCTGTGATTGAAACTACGGCCATCTCATGGCGTTACGCTAGCTCCTAGGAGGAACACGAATGAATATCCGAGGATACGAGGCCAGTCCAGCATTTAAAGAGGTGTAGTGTCAGCTTGAACTAGCGTCTACGTTCGTGGCGAAGCGTATGGGCGCCATTCCACGCTGGAGGCTGTGGGACGTGCATACTCATACAGAGACTCACGATTTCACATCCCACATGTGTGGGACGTTACGACAATATTGTTCGCCCGCCAGCTGAAAAGCTTTGAAATTATGATCAAGATTTCAACTTCTTGTCAGATATATGTATGAAGGCAAGGGTCATATCATACACAGCGATAAGCTGCGAACGGAGAAACAATGGAGGTCTTTGCCGAGTTGTCATGTATCTTGGAGGAGCTAATCTGTCAATGTTCAATCCAGATAAATAATGGAGAGGTTTGTCAATGGTATTATGGAATAATCTACAATCGAACGACATTGGTGAACAATGCAGACTGGTCAAACAGGGTCTTGTTATGACATGCCAACCAAGACGAGCAAGCCTAGAGACTCTGGATTAGCCTCAGTACGCATCGTGTTCGTGCAGGAGGAGACGAGAGATAGAAAGAAAACAAGGGTCAGAAAGCCACTTTACTCATTCAGTCAGCCGGCCTCAAGGAGCCACAATTCAGAACGAACCGTGAGAACCTTGAGACACTGGAGCTAAATGACACCCGTGGGCGACTTCACAACCCATCATAACTCTCTTGCGAAAGCTCCGGTGCGGAAGGATTGCTTGGCCAACGTGAGATAGTTGAATGGATAAGCTGTGGTCATCAGGTAGGGTCGAGGAGTGATATCTAGGAAACGCTTTGGTACGAACCTACTGACATTGTCACATGTTCGGTGTGTACTTTCGTTAATGAGTTCACAAACTGTCATCTATCGGTAGTCAGTGACAAGCACGTACGAAGATTGTCGTAGTGAAGACTTTGTAGTTGGGATGAGCATCAGAGGTATTTTGGTATTGGTATGGGTATCATCATTGTAGTTCAGAAGCAGAACTGAATGAATGGTTTTTCATCATGCAAAGGAAGAAGAAAACGAGGGGATAAACTGAGGGATAACCTACGGCAAATGTCTGGGCATGTTCGACACCTAATCGAGTATTGTAAACTATCTTCCCGGTCAGCAAAGGTTACTCACGGGATGAGCCATATTAATGTGGATAGCAGAGGTATTGTTCAGATGGTAGTGCATGATAGTCGTACGCTCAGGTGTTCGCGACAACAGTGGAATGTTATGCATCATTTGGGGTTGGGCGTGTCCGAGGGGGTGGTTTACGTACCTTATTAAGTATGAAGTCGTGGGCATTCCCAGCGTCGGGTGCCTGGTATATCACTGTCGAATTGAGAGGCACTCCAAGCCCGCAGCACTTGCTATTCGCGGGGAACTGTGTGTCAGTCGCCAGCGACAGAGGAATGATCGAATCAATTGGGAGAGTAACGCTCCATCAACAGGCCGGAATGCAGACAGGAGGCTTCGGAAGTCCTGCTGAGTTATGGGTGGTAAGGTAGTGAAAGACTGGATGAAAAAAAAAAAAACGAAAGTTCATCGAGGAAATAGCTGTCGCCGGCCAATCCTCGGTTGGTGAGTGGGTCGGGTCCGCTCGCAAATAGGTGGAGCTATACAGTACAGCTGCCTTTGGTACCAGCTTTGTGAGTGCCGATTTTCCTGAGCCATCCCCGACACCTTGCATGTTGATCTAGCAGCGACTGACATCGACCAAGTGCGCAACATTTCCTTCAGGACTGTCCCAAGTTCCATCTGTTCAGGTGACAAAAGGTTGGAAGGCAAGGTCGAGACGACGACGTCTGTGTCCAAGGACTTACCCGCACGTCTCTACACAACAATTACCAACCATTTCTCATAGGTCATCAATCAGTATGACAGACCGTCGCAGGATCAATGGACCTTCGGGTGCCACACACGCTCCAGTATACCAAGACGAATTGGATGCATCAAGGAACTCGTCAAGAGTGAGACCTGCCAATACGATGAGAAATTTATGTTAGTGTTGCCCCACCTGCGAGGAAGTTCTGGTGCTGACCTGTTTTGCAGTCCTCAAAACTGGCATTGCGCCAGCCGCCTCTGGATCCGCCTATGCAGAGATTGAGGCTCCTGCAGGTGTTTCTGATACACATGCGGGTATGAAGCTCATCTGCACAGTTCATGGCCCGAGAGCTCTCCCGAGGTCAGCGCCGTTTTCACCATATCTAGTTCTATCGACACACGTCAAATACGCACCATTCGCCACTCGCCAGCGCAGGGGCTACCTCCGGGATGCCAGTGAGCGCGACCTCAGTGTCCATCTCGAGACTGCACTGCGGGGTGTAGTTATCGGTGAGAGATGGCCCAAGAGCGGTGTGGACGTTACCGTCACCATTTTGGAAGGTGACCAGGAGAGGGGGCTCTCGCAGGCACAGGGTCACGAAGACTGGGATATGATGAATGTTCTTGGTGGCTGTATCACAGTTGCTGCAGCTGCCATTGCGGATGCCGGTATTGACTGTGTTGATATGGTTACTGGCGGCGTCGCAGCCTTGATTCAGAGCAGTGGCACGCAAACGCCCCAGATTGTTCTTGATCCGGTATGCTCGGAGCACGACAACATTCTGGCCGCTTGCTGCGTAGCGTACATGCCATCGCGAGACGAAATCACCAACCTGTGGATCAAGGGCCAACTTCCGCCGTCAGACGCGGCAACACAGACGCAATTGGTCGGAAGAGCTATACAGGCATCAAAGGGGAATTATAAGGTCCTAGTGGATGAGCTGAGTAGCTTCAGCCAAAATCACGTCGAAGCCACTTAAGACTTGCCTTGACATCGCACTGTTGTCACCCGAGATTTTGCGCTTCTGTGAGAGTCTAAGGCATGGAGGAAGTATAGTGGCCTGACAGTCAGACTATTAAGAGTTGAAGCCCTCCACAGCCCGTGCTTCTCACGCAATTTGGGCTGCCAAGGCCAGCTGGACCAGAACAGAGAAAATTGAAAAGGCACTTGCGCTGAGCGCTTGCTGACCGCATGTCTGTCATTGCGCCCAAGCATGTACCCGGTCGCCGGTGAGGTAACCCGGCCTCGGTGGGCCAGTTCATACCACAACTGAAAGTTGCCTCAGCCAGGACTGCAGAGGGAAGATTGTTCAGGAGATGCTCGGTGCAGACCGATATTCACGGGGCACCGGACGGCCGTTTCACTGTCTGCCTCGACCGGTCTTCGTAGGAATGAAAATATGCACATGCCATGGGACAACATTTGATGAGCGTGAAGGACTACAGAGTCGCGCATTAGATCTCATATCACTTTAACGCCGAATTTGGCCTCAGTACTTCATATACTGCACAGCCAAGTAGCAGAAAATAGACATCGCCAATTGAATTGAAGGATATAATGAGCAGTACATCTATATGAGGTGCTTGTATGTTGCTTATCATTGGAAGGCCTACCCGCTATAATCATGCACTGAGCGAGTACCTGTCAAGTCTACAATGGAACTATTCAGGCAGGCGGCGATCAGTGTATGTACAGAGGCCAACTCTCGGCGTCAAATGGATGAAGGTTTTGCGGTTCCATTCAAGCTTTTGGCGCCTCAATGTCTTAGGTGCACATGTAAACTGAGGTACCCACTTGAGCTGCTAGCTGGTTGGATAAGAGGAGGCGAAGATGTTGGGGAAGCGGATGCAACGTGCACACACCCACTCGCACAGTCGACGACTCTGGATTGTCCATGGCCGAGGCTCTCTGATTGCAGCGCGACCGACCTATACTGCCGTCTGCCGCAGTGCCTGGGTCCTGATATATATGCTATTCACCATTCTCGCATGCAAGGTAATTGTGTCCACATTCGCCGTATACGCGTTACTTACCTCGCTAGGTACATGCCCCAGCGACTGCCCAAGCCACTGATCTCCAGCCAACGGCACCACGACTGGACCGTATTCCCCCGCCTCGCAAGGAGTCGTGATTTACCTAAGTAGCTGTGAGTAGGACCCAGCCGGCTGCTGCTGCCGCCCTTGACCACTGAATTCGCTAACGACAACAAGCGGTCCACCAATACTCCCGTGCACGATGTCAAGCATCCTAACCGATCTATCGACCGAAAATCTTGCTATAATATAATCTCCCGGAAAGCCTGTGTCGTCCAGATTGCCTCGAGGCAAAGACATGGCGAGCGGCCTCTTCCCGGGCCCTCCGATCGACAACCACCAGAGTTGGTGGCACAATATCACTGACTGGACGTCCCGACACTTCCATTACGCTGCGAACCTTTCCAGGCTTGGTCCGTCGATTGACGACGTGATTTGGGCAGGACCTCGTATAGCAGAAAGACTCGGATATATCGTTGCGGACTACGTCGGAAACGCTGACGCCGGTCGAGACATTGCCCAAAGTCTCCACGCCCAGGAACACGTCCAAGACCTGCTCAACGCGGAGCCAACTCTTGCAGCTTTCAGAGCTGTCATGGACTCCTCATCATCTCCTGCGCACCCCGCAGACGTCGGCTCGCAACAGACACCCGCGATCACACCACAGTTCTCTATGGAGGGGGCCAAGGGCCTCGGCAGCGTCTTCAGCTATGCTACTAGCAAATGGGCTCTATCTTGCATAGCCATGGCAATTGTGCTCAACCGCACTTATATTTTCGCAGCCACAAGAAGAAGGCTTCGCCTAGCCTGGCCCATGCGGTTGGCGCTGCGTATTGTGCCGCTTGCCCTGTTTGTAATTCAGGGGCGCCAACTACTACAGTCAATGCAATGTCAAACTTCGCCTGACTTCGCTGAGATGCGATGGGGCAATTCCAGCAAAAGTTCTGATTTGCTCTTTATTCAGCCGGACGGGTTCCTCCACGCCATTAGCTCCGCTTTGCTTCTGGGAACTTCAGACGAGCAGTCGTGCCTGGCTATACGCATGATTCCCGACGATGACGCTGGACCGAACCCTGAACTTAAAGGTTCTCTATCCCTCCTCTGGCCGCTATTTGGTACCTTCTGCCTCAGTCAATTTCTGGAGACTATATCATGTGCTGTGCAGGGACGTCCAGTCGCCGCAGAAACTGGTATGACCTTGTTTGAACATTCTCTTGCCTTCGCGGAGGCAGATTCTGCCATTAGCAATCAATTAGGATGGAGTTCCTTCGCCCTCAAGCAGGCCCAGACCACGGAAGCTGGTGCCAGTGTTGGCAATGCCATCGCCATCAGCCGATCCATGGTCCTCCAAAGAGTCAATACGCCACCCGAGGTTCTTCTAATCGCCTTGCTCTCTGTCATGAGTCACCTGACGAGTCACACTCTGGGTGTGTTCAACCTTCAAGCTCGATTCCGTCTCCTGAGCACTGGCTTCTGGGGTTTATGCTTCATGGCCAGCGTCGTTCGGAGCGCGTGGACATTCACTCTTGATGACACCTTGACTCAAGGCCTCTTACGGTTCCCCACGGTGTGCATTATAGGCTTTTTCCCGCATGTGCTAGTTCTACTGGGAATCGTTGTATGCCTGATGATATATTGTCTCGCTCTTGTCATATCCGCCTCATCGCTACCTAGCGCGGACAGGTCCAGCAACCTCGACCTCCGTCAGAGATTGCATCTTGCCCATACCAATATGCAAGCAAACATGCCGTTGTCCGGTGTTCGTATTAGCAGGGAGATGGATTTCTATACTGCCCTGTTGCGCACTGGATTCGGCGCCATTACAATGGCGAGTGAAGCTGTATATCTTAACGAGGATAGGGATGTCAATCTGGCGTCCTCTACGTGGATCGAAGATGAGAGGTTTCGAGAACTGGAAGAACTCCGGAGGCAATGGCTTGGCGAAGAATTCGGGTCCCGTCTCGATCCTACCGGCACATCCATCCTGTTACCAGTAACGAAAGGCAGGGCTCTGGCGAAGAGTGGTTTCGATCGAGAGCGTGCTGCTCAAAAATTGCCCAAGACCATTTCGGGGGAAGGCAGACTGCGAGACGGCATCGGTGCCGCCGAGAGGAGCGGCAGATGGTTGATGGCTTTAGATTTTGTCCTCAATACCAGCAAACTGGTGGTCAGAACGACGACAGGCCTGGTCATCCGACTCCTCTCCCGCCTTGGTATGCGCATACCACGATGGCTTCTGTGGATGGCTCAGAGGCCGAAACAACAGGGTGAGACGGCCGCCACGGGCACTGGGCATCGTTCTACAGCTTCTCACAGCTTTCAAGGGGGTATAACAGGGGGCGTTGACATACCCTTGACAGATGCCGTGGATGTTGAGGCGGAGTTCAGGCAGCGAGCATGGTCAGCAACGCAGAGCTGTGTTCCCTTGAACGAAGTCGACCTGGACTCTGAGCTGTATCGCTGGTGGCTGGGAGGTGGCTGGTGGGGAACCGCAGATATGAGCGGTGACTATGACCCCAATGCCGACTCTGACTACGACGATGACGATACAACAAGCGTTCTATCAATAGCGACACACGACGACAATGAAGATGCTTGGGAATCAGAGGATGGGGGCGGTCAGAAGACGCCCACGCGGAATTCGCCTCAGCTCAAGTATGAGACGAGCTTTGCACATGACAATCCCATGCAGCTCGACGACCTGGTACGACTTTTGAATCCGGCGACTCCTGAGGATAAAGAAGAGGCTGTTGCGTTGGCTGCTCACCTGGGCAGTAGAGATGTATTGACCAGATCACGATACCGCAGCCTCCAACATCGCCGCCGAGTGGAGATACTCAACCCCAATGCATCCGCAGAAACTGATTTGGTACGAAGCGCGAGTTTGACCCCACAAGAAGAAACCGAGTTGCTCGAGAGGCTCATCATATCACGACGCCGACTGCGTCGAGAGCCGCAAGCTGAGGCGCATACCTCTTGGTCTGATGGTGCAGCCGGATTCGGGTCAGATGGACCGCAGTGCGTAGTCTGCCAGAGCATGCCCAGGACTATCATAGTGTGGCCCTGTCGTTGTCTAAGTTTGTGCGACGACTGTCGCGTGTCGTTGGCCATGAACAACTTTGACAAATGCGTGTGCTGTCGGCGCGAGGTTATAAGTTTCAGCAGGATCTTCGTTCCTTGAAACTATAAAGGGGTTGTGTATGGCATTTGCCTACTACAGGATCTTTCTCTTATCATGACTTGTATTTGCAGCCTGTGCACACATTGCTTACACATAACCACGCTCCATCGAATCAACCCAGAGTACGCCTACATGCCAGCCCATTCTATGCAGAAAGCTCTAATGGAGGGATCGCCAACTCCAGTAGTATGATTCCGCGGCACCTCGCCTCCCAATAAGAAGCCTTTTTTTACTGAAGTGCCCAGCCGGCCACTGCCAACCATGTCTAGCATTGAAATCTCCTCCTCCCACTCATAATCTGTAGCGAGGAAATGTGCATGATATCTCAAGGGATCGCCTGGATAGACACTATACTTAGCGCCGAATCGAAGGCCAGGAGTCATAAAGTAGCCTTGGGAAAGTAAGTGCGCGTGAAGGGGACCAACGGCAGGCGTTGCTTCAGCGTGTTCAGTTGACGAGGCGGATGGCAAGATAAGCCCCAAGCTAGTAGTGTTAGTGACCGTGAGCGGCTTCACAAGACTGCGGCCTGCCACAGACTGTGGTTCATCAGCTAGATGAGGATTTCGAACATTCCCAAGCCGGTCTGAGTCAACATTGACATGCGCTGAGGGTTGAGCATGTTCAGGCGTTGTGCCTCCTTGGTTCCTGGCCTTGGCTGCAAGCTCCCGACTTTGGGCAGCTTTTTGTGCCTGGCTTTCAGCAAGATGCTGTTTGGCTTGCTGGCGACGATCGTTCAGCTGGTCGATATACTGTTTACGGCTGCGTCTGTCCTGCTTCAGCGCAGCCAGGTGACTTGTAGCCTCATCTGCAAGCACGGCAGCCTTCTGACCCAGGAGCAAAGCAGCCTCTTCCGGAAGAAGCTCCAAGGGAAGGCTCAGGAACACATTCTGCGTAGGATTCTGCGGGGTCGACCCGACCAGAACTGAGCAAAGGTGGTGTCGCCGACGCAATATCGACACGTGATCAGCGTCGAAAACCAAATATCGGTCGGCGATCTTGGAAATCCGTATCTGCTCGACAGCAGAACTTGCTTCTGGACTGTCCATCGGGCGTCTGTAGCAATATGTTAGCATCAACTCGATGCTTGACCTGGACAAATTCGAGCGTCTTGATGGTATTTAAGTCATAAAAAAATGTAACATATTGTCATCACTAAGGTTCAGTGGATTGACAGATTGATTGATATGAAAGATGTATAATCACAGAATACTGACGATTGGCTCAATATAAGAAAACGGGTGTTTACATACCTAGTACTGCGCGATGTGAAGAGGGAAGGTTTCAAGAAAAGCGTTGCTGAGAGCAAGAGAAGAAGAAAAGCGCGATTGAATTTTCGCGGACACTATGGAGTATCAGAAATTCGATATCTGGTTAGCATATATCTGTCTAAGCATTATTATGCATTTTCTGTGGTGTGCGATTGAGGCAATATTCATACTTGAGAAGGGTCCTCGTACTGGCCCACCCAGACTCACAGCTCGACAAACACCAATTGTAGACGGGCTACATCTGACCCAAGGAATACGATCGAACGAAAGCCATTGTTTTCATGTTGCTCATGTGTTGCATTGTTTAGTTGTCATTGGTATGGCTGACAGCAGCTGCTCTCAGTGAGCACACGAGTCTCACGACTACTTGGCCTCATCTGCAGGCTTGTCTCATAAGATATCGCCGTTCCATTAGAATGATAAATCATGGCTCTTAGTATCCTTTGACGCAGCATCATTTGCATCTGCAGTGTCCCCAACAGGAGGCAGGCTATAGGGTCTGATCACCAACCCGCTCGATGAGCTCAACTTGAAGGAAAGGTTCTCATGAGAGAGCCTGCCTCCTGGGCCTATGCCAAGTTCAACTGCTACAGGAAGACGGTGTATGTTGAGCATTCCTTGGGCGGCGTCCTCTGATTTCGACCCTGGCTGAGCGTGCACCGGTTGCTGCAATGGCACTAGCTCCACGACACCGTCTAACAGGGCTTCCATCCACCGTACGAGACCCGTGGATCTGGAATAGAGGGCTGTCGATACCGAAATCATCGCTGACAAGCGGGAACCATATTTTCGAAGTAATGCCCGTAGTGCATGCAAGAATTGAAGGACCTCGGATGGTTTGGAAGTCGACGGGCCATAAGACGCCGGTGAAAGAAGATTCGGCACGACGACACGATGTACAGATCCTGGTGGTGAGGAACGCATCGCCTCCGCTAAAGAGACTATATAAAGCTGGAGCAGAGACGGGCTTTTTTGAGCGGTATGCTTCGGAGTGGGTGGCATTGTTGGCCGTATCACGTCTAGGTTGCCCCTACAGTCCCGGCTTTCCAGTTTGGTGGCGAGATCAAAGGTGTGACAGAACGGCACACTAAGTGATTTTGCATCAGTAATCTGCTGCTCACCCATGGCTGATAAAGACTTAGTTCGGTCACTCTGAGAGACACGCTGTGAAGAGCGTCAAGTGTTGGCCACATACATGAATTGGGAGGTTCGCCACCACGGGACAAGGACTCGTATCTCCATGCGATCTTCATCTTATCATCAGAACCGTTGGAATTCCTGACCTTGCTGGTACGAGGGAGTTGGGACAAGCCCGGTAGCTCGGATCGCCAGGCATCTCCAACACCAAAAACGTGAACGTGATGCCCCTGGACAAGGCCTTCGGCGGCATAGTATTTCAACACAACCCCAGAAAAGTCCGTGTTTCCAGATTCTTCCAGAAGAATAGCGTTTCCCAAGGGGAGGCCTGCATGCCCAGATAAGCACTGGTCCAGTGACGCAGTCCCAGTCGAGATTGTCAGGCGGCCATCCAGAGGAGAGGGTCGTGTTCCTGGAGCATGTCCGTTTCCGAGCTTGGAAGCAAACTCCTCGGGAGCTCCGGCAGCTGGGACTCCCAAAACGATGTTTTTCTTTCTGAATGACATAATTTCCGTGAGACAGTCGGTGCCAGAGTAGACTTTTGGTAAGAAGATGCTCTTTGACGTTGTAAACACAAGTGGACACTCATGCTCCAACCGGGGTGTTAAAGGCGATACCTGTATAAATGGGTCTTCAAGAAAATACAGGTCCTGTCACGCTGTACCCAATGCAGACCAGGCGCGTTCTCGCCCCACCTTAAAAACCAAAGTCGACAATCGCCCATCCGACAGCTTCAAAGGCAGGTAGGTCTCGGTCATATATCGAATCACCCCCTACATGCACCAAATAACGGAGAGTCTGTCGAGGCACACGATTACACCCAAGAAATATCGTCGCAAAGAACAATAGAAGAAAACGTCATAATGACGACTACCGGCGGCGATGTGACACTCTTCGAGGAGAGCTTCACTATTACGAATTTCGACCAGTCCAAGTATGACCGTGTTGCTCGCATCTCAGCGACATCGGCAGACAATCAGACCGTCATGACCCTCGATATCAACATTGAGTTGTTCCCCTGTGCGGTGTCTGACAACTTGCACGTCGTACTGGCAACCTCCTTGGCGCACGATGGAAGCAAGGACGAGGAGAAGGGCTGGCGGGATGTGGCCAAGGGATCTGGTGGTGGCGCAGAAGCGACACTGGCGGACATGTTCGATTACGTGTGCCATGGGAAAATCTACAAGTTTGAAGACGCCGATGATGGTCAGATCATGTAAGTTCCTGCTCCCGAAGTGGCCAGAGAAGGGCAACAGTGTGGCGCTGCTCGTTTCGTCGGCTAACCTAACCTCTTATATAGTAAGGCGTACGTCTCGTTTGGAGGCATGCTCATGTCTCTGGAGGGTCCATACAAGAAGCTTACGCCACTGCGCGTCGACTACACATATCTCCTGATTAAGAAATAAGCAGCTGAACAAGACCATGATGTTGTTCATCAAAAACACTCAACATGCCTGCTGTGCGGACGCCGCCGATGCCATTACAGGATGGACGAGGAGCTCCGATATTGTCGGACACCATAGTATCTGAGGCCAGGGCTTGTTACGCAAAGCGAAGGCTACGATCGCCCTTTTACAAAAGGACTTATCATAATTGGCCTACAGTCTAGTTTGGGAACGACTCGAACTTGTGGGGGCCGGGAAAGGGGAGCTCGCGGTGCAGCCTGAGCTTTATCTCGTCGAAGTCGGGCTCATTGTCCTGCGTAAGGATGCCATGCCGGATCAGGAAGTCAATGACTACCAAGGCACAGTTCGGCTTGAACTTCCCATGCGCCAATTGATGCTGTACCTCCTCAATACCGCAGAGCTCGAACCCAGCAACCTCACCGTCCTTAGGTCGCGGAATGACGTTTGGTTGTAACTCAAGGTCGTATATCCATTGGACTTCGGGGTAGATTAGGCCAGCTTGACCAGCTTCCTCGTGCGTGACGTAGGTGTAAGTGACTCCGCCAGCTGCCAACGTTTGTCCTCGCACGACGTCCTCAGCAAGGTCCGCCTCTTCGTTCGCCTCCCTGATGATGCATTCAAACGGATCCTCTCCCGTCATGAGTCCACCAGCTGCGGTGTTGTCCAACATGCCGGGGAAAGTAGACTTCGTGGGCGATCGTCTAGCTATCCACATCTTGATACCATGCCTTGCCTTTGCACACCGTACGAAGGCATTCAGATGAACGCCGTACCGCGTAACACCAAAAAGGCCGGTAGCGGACCGCTCCATGTTATAGAGTAGCTCTCCATCGTTTGCGTAAATGGGCCATAGCTCGTCCCGCCATCCGCGAAGCACTGGGAATGCATCTTGGCTTCGCCAGTAATTCATCAGCGCAGCAACAACAGCGCTGCGCTCTGGTTCGGTAGTCCCCTGGAAGGCGTATACAGTGCGACGGGCATGGTCGACATCAATGTCTCCCCTGACGTCTGAGGGTGTCTCCTCTAGCCGCGCCAAGACGTCCAATGGCACGTAACCTAGAGGGACATCTCGACCAACGTCCTTCCATCTCAGTGTGTACAGAGGCCGTTGCAGTCGTCCGCGGATTTCATCAATCGACCCATACGGAAATCTGCACTACGTTTAGGCGTGACACCTAATTATACAACCACGCAATTGCTACTTACGAGTCAATGTTGTTTGTAAGATCGATATTGCTCAAATTGGACATGGTAGTGTATGTACGGACGAGAAAACAGCGGCGGGATCGACGGGATGCACTTCGTGATATAATCCGTGCCGCTGGGGAGGACATTGAGGTGCATGAGTGAGGCCAGAGACCCAGCTTTTACAGGTTCTCCAGAATTGACTCAGACAGGGCTAACTAATTGCTCGGCAACCTGTTGCAACATCCCGGTGCCTGTTGAGCCCGAAGACGGCCACCCCATCAGACGAGGTGGGGCTAATGCGATAACTCATACCTCTATATGCCTTATATACGGGTCTAGGCATTACATGTCCCACCGACGCCGCTTCTGGCCTGCCTGTGAAAATGATTATAGCTTGCAGAGTTGCCTCCAGGAAAAGGCAGTTGAATCGAGAGTGACTGCCTTGAAAATACAGAGCTATACCCTCTATAACCGATCCACGAATATCTTGGATGAGTCTCATTCCGGCAGATATCGTAACTCCAGCATCCGATCGCGGTCTGACCCTTCGAAACCTGTTACACTGAGGGGTACCACGATCATGTCCTCGCCACTTTTTGGGGTGATTCCAACTGGTCAACCACTGATCACAGAACCAACATCAAATCCATCGCAAACTTCATCTCTATACACCATATCTGCCGCCAGATCCTTCACCCATGTTGTCGTTTTCATTCTTCCCGGCATAATTCTTCCTCCAAACACTGCCGCGGCAATATACTTTGCCACAGCGTCTGCCGTGGCTGCCGCCGCCGCAGCTGGTCAGACACCGGATTTTCAGTTTCTGGGTGGTATAGGACCCGGCAAAGAAAGTGCAGTATTCAAGATCAATGCTGCACCTTACGATGATCAAGGGAACCTCAGCGGCGAACAGTCGGGGACCAGCGTCATGATTGGAGTCTCCATAGAAGACGCCACATCTGTAGCGACTCGTATCCAGGAGAAGAAGCCAAACACAACTCTGACTGGTCGTGGAGGCCAGCCGAGTACTGCCGTCTTAGCCCAAAGGATTATACAAAACGCCTTTAACTTCCTGTCTGGGTTCAGTGGGACGGCTGGCCCAGGAGGTGTTGAGGTGGTGCCGTTGAAGGCATTCGAAGGCTGGTGGAAGAAGTTTGAAAGTCGTGTTAGGTCTGATCCCAGTTTTCTCGAGCGGCAGCAGCAAGAATGACGCACTTTGTACAACGATCTCTTTGTCGGGGGTATCATGGGATGAGGAGTTGAAGTCTAGCTGGACTCATAAATCGGATTACTTCAGTCGCAGGACGTATGAATTTCAGTCAGGAAGAGCCATGTGTGACAATCTTGTGTGTAGTTCATGCACTACTCTTACTACAAGCTCCGTTTCAAACGCCGCCTAAGCCCTGGCCCGGAACAGAAATCAGCCCATTACATGAAATCGCTAGCCTAGACATTCGTTCCAAATTCATCAGATTCTCACCGAGGGTTTGTGAGCGGACTCTTCAACCTGGTAGGGCTGCCCGTTCGACTGCGTCGCCCAGCGTTGACCGCACTGGGAACCAATCTTTCTCTACTCTCTGTACGCACCGCAACCCCGCCACGATCCACTGATAAAGCCCCTTGGCCGTCTTCATAGCGCTCCAGGTTGAGCTTCGGTCTCGGTAGGCCAGTCACGCGGCCAGAACGAGATGCCTCGCTGCTGTCAGATGCACTGTAATCATCGGATTCAACATCAGCAAGCTCGAACTGGTCCGCGTCTCCCTCTTCCAGAACCCGTTCATACTGAGCTGGACCCCTGCCAAAGATTTTGTTCGCGAATGACAATCCACGTGCAGGTTTGCGGGGGCTGCCTGGTCGGGAGTTGCGGCGGAAAACTGCTCCAACCCACCCGCACCAGCGTGACCGACGATCTCTCTTCCGCAACAGAAATGTGAAAAAAGCCACCAAGACAACCACTAAAAGTAAAGTTGAGCCTGTTGTTGACGTAGCCTTGCCTATGAGGCCTCCGTTGTTGTTTTGCCGACCGTTGCCCTCTCGAATGGGGGCGTATTGTGACCCGGCCGGTTCAAAATCCTTGGCTTCTGGTACGTTACTACCGAACCCGACGGGTAAGTCCTCCGTATCGTCCAGAGGCGGAACTTGTCCAGCAGCGTACAGGATCATTTTCCCAAGCGTCCAGCTGACCTCAATCCCATCAATCTTGTTGACAGGACGGAAGGGGTCTAAAAACCCTCGATGCTTGGCATCATCGATGACCTCATCCGAAACGTTGAGGCCGGGCAACGGCTCGTGCTCAAGTCCGGGGCGCGGAATTCCAATGCCTTCATACAAGACATTGATGAGCCAGGACGCCTTAAAACATGCCTCTTGAGCGTTCCTTGCCTTCTCTTCCAAAGTTTTCTTTCGCGCCTCCAAGTCGGATGCGATATCAATCCAATCACGACTACAGAATTCCACAACGTTTTGCTGGTAAGTTGCGAGGTCGTAGGCCTTATGTTTCCCTCCGAAGACACCGTGAGTAGTGTGCCAGTATTCAGAAACACCGACGAAGTGATTAATGCTGAAGTCGATGGATGGGACGTGTTGACCGTTTAGAAGACATGGGTCGTCCAGACAGGGCGCATCTTTGCCAAGAAGGGGTTCTGTATTGGCGAGACACTCTTTAAAGAGACCTGTGCCCACTAAGGTGAGCTCCTTCTTCGCTTGCTTGTCAGTCAGGGGGTCGCCGTCAGGTGTAGTTCGTAAGCCTTTCGGCATGCACGGATCTGGGACCTCAAGATTGCTTGATTTGTCGTACGATTCCTGAAGCCGATCGACGTATCTTTCGCGGGCCTGGTTGGCTCCATATCCAAGCCAGGTCGCTGTGAAGACTTTGTGTTCTGACACAGTACCATCCATGGTTCGTAGGCGAACAAGTTTGAGATCATTGGAGTGCTTTTTCGCTTCGGTGGAGTTTGGTGCAAATGCAATCTGCGCGCTGGCTCCGCCCATATCTAAGAATCCATACGTGTGGTGTCCCTCACCATGTTGATGATTCTGGGGTTCATCAAAGCCGCCAAGCAAGTAATTGGTGGCTAGCCAACCGTATAAGCCCTCGGTTTCTCCAGATATTACCTGAATATTGGTATTGCAATCAGGTAGGGAGAAGTCTGTGTTGTCTCGAAGGTAGATGCACATGCTCTGTAGCAGTTCTTGCTGTTTGATCTCCGGTAGCAGTCTCATGCCGGCGGTGGCCATGAGATAGATCGGAGTTTCGGCGACCTTGGAAGCAGGAACTTCATCTAATGCGAGCTCGACAAGTGCCTTTAGATGTTCGGGTCCGATATCCTCGGGTTTGTCCGCGAAAGAGGAGACGCCTGGGTGAATCTTCTCACTTGTTTCCAGTTTGATCTTGGGCAGGCGGTGGAGCTCTTCTTTTGTGGCATCCTGGACAGCTTCCGCGTGTTCTTTCCACTTGTAGACGTATAAGCGAGTACCGGAGGATCCGGCATCGAATATGATACCGTACTTAGCTGTAGCCACGAGGGAATGGTCAGCAGTTTGTTCTACTTGCTGCAAAATGAGGTCTTACATTTCTTGCCCATTGCGAAGACCCTGGAAGATTCTGTCTGTGATAACAACCAGACTGTTGCTGGTGTAGGCGAACTGGCCCCGGGGTTGACCTGCGTGGAATCGAGGCCGATAACGAAACGAGGCCGCGTAGACCTGGAACTTGCGAGAGCAGGCGATGCAATACAAGAAAATGACAGAGTTATGCGATGCGCGATTGTACAGCGTAGAAGCGAGCGACAATCATCCCTTCCGGATGGAGATTTTCGTTCCAAAGCGTTGCGGTGACCGTCCCAGGTGAAGAAGCGAATGGCAATGGCAGTCGGGCCAAAGAGACCGAATTTGACAGATTACGCGATGGATGATGTTGAGGCACGGAATTGGGTTGGAACCCAAACGGGAAAGCTCGTATCGTACCACCGAAACCTTTACAGATGAAGACTCCAATCCCATGTACCGGAGATAGCCTAGGGAATGGGCCAGGGTGCGAGGGGTGCGCCATCACTCGCGTCACAGCAAGTCGATGGCGTATCTCTTAGGTACTAAAGCACGATGAATCCCTTATCGGCGGAAGCACCCTGGTTAGTGGGTCTCGTCGTGGCGTGACAGGGATGTACCTTTGTGCTAGACTTTTCTGATCCGAGCAAAGGGCAACCACGTCGACCCAGATATTCATCTGAAGGCCAACCTACCATCGCCCGAACCCAGGCTTGTCGCCTCTCTGTTGAGTTTTCGGAACGGCCGTGATCATTAGCATTCATTCTGGGCCTACTCGTAGCTCGCATTTCCTTCGGTTGTTCGCCATGGTTCGGATCAAGGAAAGATATCTCCTCATCAACATTCTCTACCCACTGGACACCACTAGAAGAACAGACAGCAACGTTCCGGCCTTTGTCAGACGTCATCGGCCGACACCAGGCGATCTTTCGCCACGGGATCTCGTCAAAGGAATACGGCAACAAGTATCAGCGTTATTCGGAGACTATGGCTCCGGCGCATTCGAGGGTAACAACCTCGTAGGTGAGCTTCGTTCGATATTTGCGTCCAATTCAACAATTCGGGTCTGATTGTCTGGTAGTCAAATATTTGTCCAAGGCAACTTCCACCTTCATCTTGAAGGTCAAGAGAGCCCATTATCGCTTGGTTTGGGCGGCACTCACAACCATCAATTCACTTCCTCTGAGCTCCAGCAATGAGAAGTCATGTGTATTCAACGTCGTGCGTGTCAGTGGAACAATACGCAAGGTCGAGGAAGAAGCTGTACACCAAGCCAGACAGCTAGTGCTCGCCGTCCGAGCAGAAGAAGCGTCCGATACACGACTTCCCACCATGCTTGAGCGGCCGACCACGAGTCGCACGTCGCCTGATCGCAAAGGAGAAATCCCTATCATGGTTCCAAGGGAATCCGGCAATGACGACAGCGATGAATCAGAATTGAAAGAGCATCTGAATTCAAGCTGAAGACAGCTTAGGGGTATCATTCATGTTTAAGTCTTGCGCACTACCTTCACCCCGCTGTTGGCCGGTACATTCATATCCCCAAAATCGGGATCATGTACGCTCGATCCTCGGAAGCCCTGAGAGTTGTGAACAGACGATAAATCTTCGCCAGGACGCTCTTCTGCTCCCTCTCTCAACACCTCTTCCTCTTGCTCGAGCCTGTCGTAATCGGCTTTTTGATCGACCCATCGTTCCTGGATGTCGAGAGCACCTAGCATAGACGACTCGTTCCTCATGGCTACTTGCCAGACAGTGTCGTTGGCCCCTTCAGCTGTACCAAAGACATACCCCCCAGCTCGATCAATCACCCTCAGAAGATGCATCATGCTCTTCTTATTTTTAACCGCCAGGACCTCAAAACGAACCAACCCGTAACTTTCTATCATGTTAGCCACAGCCTCATTGAGCCGCCCAAACTTATCATTTCGCATGACGGGCGACTCTTCCTCAAGATAGGGCATCAGATAGGATACATCTTGTACGTCGGTGTAAAAGTCAAGATTGAAAGGCAAGGGGTCATAGGAAGCAACTTTGTCGATTTTGCTCAGGACGTTGATGTGAGGCAAGTCCATCTGGAGCATGGCTCGCAATGACAGAAGAAGATTCGAGATATAGAGCGATGGTTGAGTCAAGCAGAAGGAGTCGGAGAGGTGGACGACGACAAGCTGTAAAAAGTGCCCATGTATTAGCGCTGTAGTCGACGCGACGTCCGATCAGGAAAATTCGTGGCCTACCCGGTAACCAAGCTTTTGTAGTCTCAAGAAGATATTGCGAAGAGAACTGTGGTGCGTGTATAATTCAACTTGTCCTGGACAATCAAAAATGACATAGTCATCTCCAAGTTCTTTTAGACCTTCTTCGAGCCAGTCGATGTTATGTTCAAGTTCTTCTAGTGCATACAATATTCCGCCATTGGGCCCGAGCCTGTCTCTCGCCATGATGTCCTCAAGCTTCGCTACACTGCGAATGTCGATGGCTTTGGGATAGTTGGCGTTCTCATTGGCAGGGTCCAGGTTGACCACGGAACAAGCACGTCCAATGGCTCCTAGAAACTGGTGCACTGTATCACTGTGAGCAAGCTGTACGAGGACGGTAGACGCACTTGGGGATTAAGGCGTACTTCCATCGCAGTATGTGCTCTTCCCTGCTCCAGGACTGCCCAGTACTAGTTGCGCAAACGGCATTGTTGGTCTTCTTCTGCTTCTGTATGCAACGAAAATGATATGATTCGGTCCAGGCTTTGTTTCGGTGGCGTATCTGTGGAATCGTGGAACGATGGAGCATGTTGCGTCTTGGTCAGCGATGAAATTGGGCGGCACCACTATCACAAGACTTATCAGAGCAGTGATCTTGGTGGGGGTGGCAGAAAGAATCATGACAGACATGTGCTTACGACAGTGCACGCGCCATCACATTTTGGGTAAGAGTGCCTGACCGCCTGGCCCAAGCTCCTCGCAATAAAAGCCCCTCGTAGCTAAGTCTTCTCTCGTTTTCAACTCAGAATTCTTTGTTCATCCTACATCCAGTTCCTTCCCACAGCGCCAGCCAGCTTCAAAGGTGCTAGCTGTATGCCCACAATGTGACGTGGATCATCTATGCGCACCATGCCGCTGCTATACCGACAAAAATTACTGCTCGTTAGTGACCACGACAATTGAAATGTCTGGTCCAACGACTGCCGGGCCGTCGGGCTTGGCCAGTATCATCAAGGCCTCGACAGCCCCTCTGCCTTCTGCCTTGACCCGTGCTCAAGAAGTTGTGGCCACTCATGGGTCGTCGAGTTGGCTTGGTTTCTTTGCTTGGCTCATCATAGCCATATTGCAGCTTGTCTCTTCAGTCTTGTATTGGACTATCCGCCTGGCCACCATCACAGTTCCCACTCTTCTGTTTCAACTATTCTCCACGAGTTGGACAGTCACGATGAATGCAACCACTCTGTAAGTTTTCGCGCTTCATTCGAAACGTCGCCTAGAAGCAACCGCTCACGATGGTACAGCATGGTCATCACCGTCGCCCTTGTCTCCGCCGTTAGCTGGGTGGTTCGCTATCGCATACTCAACATGTACTCGCGATTACCCCCAGAGCCTCAACGCAAGGAACCGGAAATTGATCTGTTTCCTGACACACATGACGAGGGTGTCAAGTCAGGACTTTCAAGCTACCTGGACGAGTTTCTGAGCGCTATCAAGATATTCGGTTATCTCGAGCGTCCTGTCTTCCACGAGTTGACTCGAAGCATGCAAACCCGGAAACTCATCGCTGGTGAAACTTTTAACCTCGAAGAGGAGAAAGGCTTCTGCATTGTGGTCGATGGGATGGTGGAAATCTTTGTCAAGTCTGGGAGGTCCTTTGGCTCCCCAGAAGCGAGCGCTAATTTTCAAGGCGACCTATCAGATGGAGAAGACGATGCTTTGCCCCATGGTGAGCAATACCAGCTGCTTACGGAGGTCAAGAATGGGGCACCCATGTCGTCCTTATTCTCCATCATGTCCCTTTTTACCGAGGACATTAAACTCACGTCAACAGAGGCTGAAACCCCCGAAAGAAGCACTGCTTCCAGCGCCAATTTCCGATTTGCTGGGGCCGCCCGAACTTCCGTCTCGCGGCATGTCTCCCAGGATGCCGCCGCGTCAATGCCTGGCACGCCGCGATTTGTTGACGTGGCTGAAAACAACAACGACCGTGTACATGAAGACTTGTCGCGCCCGTCCTATACAATCCCTAGCTCGAACCAGGCTGCAATTCCTCCGATTTCGCTCGATGGGTCAGAGCCCAAGCGGACAGCAGTCCGCCCTACACTCCCAGGCAGAGCCGCTTCGACATCGGCCCATCCAGATATCATCGCTCGGGCCACAGTCGACACGACGATTGCCATAATTCCTGCCAGCGCTTTTCGACGACTTACCAAAGTGTATCCAAAAGCCACATCGCACATAGTTCATGTCATTCTATCCCGCTTCCAGCGAGTGACACTTGCCACGGCATACAGATACCTTGGGTTGACGTCCGAGGTGTTGTTGACCGAGAAGAGCATGAATAGATATACAACGTGGCAGCTTCCTAACATGCTTCGGGGCGATGCACTGCTACGCCTCAAGGAAAAATTTGGCCGCGAGCGTCAGCGCGCTGGGGAAGATACGGAAACCAAGGGCATCGCGCTACACAATGCGAATGCCCATCGACGCCGAAAGTCAAGTGTCATGCTGCGCAAAGATGCTGTTTTGCATTCAATGTCCAAGCAAACTTCCTACGTCGCCACAACTATCGCACCCCCAGGAGAGAGACTGGCTACTCAGACGCCCAGTCCCGGAGACTTATTGGCCACTACGAACATAGCTCGAGAAGTCCCTGGTCACAATTTCACAGACTCACCTATTGAGCATGTTGCAGAGGTCATGCGTCTGGATCAAACCAGCCCGTTGGCACAGCGAACTTTCAACCCTTTCGCTAGTGTCAACACTTCGCGCGTGTCACTCGACCCCCGAGACGCCGCCGATGAGGACAATCTCTTCCGGACCTCGATCCTTGAATGCATGTTTCGAGCGATCGGCCTGGGCGTCGGCGGCACTGTTTCGCGGGAACCTGAATCCATGGAGGGATCACCTAGGCTATTTTCGTATGATCAGCGACGCCACAAAGCTATGTTTGGAAATCACAATGCCTTTGGCATCATGGACCCCTTCGACGGCTCGGTTGATGGCGATACCGAGTCATTGACATCTGGTGGCCTTGCCCTGAATACTCCGCCCAGCGCCCAATCACTAGCCAATGATTTGCGTGATGACGTCGAGATTGTTTTCTTTCCCCAAGGCTCAGTTCTCGTTGAGCAAGGCGAACGCAACCCCGGACTTTACTACGTTATCGACGGCTTCCTCGATATCTGCACCACCAGTGAGGAGTCTTCCGCAAGCATTCTTCAGCCTGGGGCACGAGCATCTACAGCGGGTTTGACTTCTGACGCAACTCCTGCGCCTGCTCACAACAGTCATGGCAGGGACAATGCTCAAGACAAGCGCAAGAAGTCTGTGCGTCGCAGTGTATCCTTGATCAAACCGGGTGGCCTTGCAGGCTACATTGGCGCATTATCTTCGTACCGTTCATTCATCGATGTCGTTGCGAAGACTGATGTCTACGTTGGTTTCTTACCCCGTGCGTCCCTTGAAAGGATTGTAGATCGGTACCCTATCATCCTTTTGACGATGGCCAAGAGGCTGACAAGTCTTTTGCCGCGCCTTCTCCTTCACATCGACTTTGCTCTGGATTGGGATCAGGTCAGCGCTGGCCAAGTCATATTTCACGACGGCGACGAGAGTGAAGCTATCTACATTGTCTTGAATGGACGTCTTCGTCTCGTCGAAGACCGCGAAGGCGGTGGCATGACTGCACGAGCCGAGTTTGGCCAGGGCGACAGCGTAGGTGAGCTGGAAGTACTTACCGAGTCGGCCCGCACCGGAACTTTACATGCCATTCGAGACACAGAGCTTGTAAGATTTCCGCGAACGCTTTTCAACAGCCTAGCTCAAGAGCACCCGAACATCACTATCAAGATATCAAAGATCATTGCTGCCCGCATGCGCAGTTTGGTAGATGATCCAGCCCAGCTAATGGCGAATGAAGCTGGGCTCTCTGCGTTAGGCAAAGGCTCGTCGGCGCTCAACTTGCGGACAGTAGCTGTGCTTCCTGTGACCGCAGGCGTACCAGTTGTTGAGTTTGGCCATCGTTTGTTGAATGCTTTGGTGCAAGTCGGCCCAGTCAACGGCGCGATTTCGTTGAACCAGTCCGCGATTCTCAACCACCTTGGCAAGCACGCTTTCAATAAAATGGGCAAGCTGAAGCTATCCCAATACCTCGCGGATCTGGAGGAAAAGTACGGCCTTGTGGTCTACGTCGCAGGTATGTCACTTTTTACTCAACCGCTCTTCCAGTTACGTCTCTTTTTTATGATGAGCAAATCCTGTTTCCAGAGGCCAAGCCGCTGATGGCCAAACATAACTCTAATTTTTTCCTGAACTTGAGAATCATTCACACAAGCACATGCGCTCTTTGTTGAAGGCAACATGCTAATCATGCGGTGTTGTTGATCAGACACAAACGTCAATTCGCCCTGGACGCAGACTTGTATCGCACAAGCCGATTCTATACTGCTGGTGGGCTTGGGCGAGGGCTCCCCTGAGATTGGTGAGTACGAGCGCTTCATGCTGGGCATGAAGTCAACCGCGCGCAAGATCCTGGTTCTGCTCCACGCAGAGCGGTATTCGTCACCTGGTCTGACCAGGTCCTGGCTTCGAAACCGAATGTGGATTAATGGCGGTCACTATCACCTGCAAATGGCTTTTAGAACCAACATGATGCCATCCCACCCCCCTTCTAAGAGATCAAACACGACACTGAAGGAGCGTGTCCAGATCTTGCAGGCTGAGATCCAGAAATACACCTCGAGAAAGGTTCGACACACACCCTACTACTCGCCTGATGCACCGTTCAAGGGCGATTTTCATCGTCTGGCCCGACGATTATGTGGCAAGTCGGTGGGTCTCGTGCTCGGAGGTGGTGGCGCTCGAGGCATCACTCAGATCGGCATCATCCAGGCTATGGAGGAAGCTGGCATTCCCATTGATGTTGTGGGTGGAACATCAATGGGATCGTTTGTTGGTGCCCTCTACGCAAGGCACGCAGACATCGTGCCCATTTTCGGCTTGGCGAAGAAATTCTCAGGCCGGATGGCTAGTATGTGGCGCTTCGCGCTTGACTTGACTTACCCGACATCCTCATACACCACTGGGCACGAATTCAACCGCGGGATTTTCAAGACTTTTGGCAAGGCCCAGATTGAAGACTTCTGGCTCGAATTCTACTGCAATACCACCAACATCAGCAAGAGCCGGGCGGAGTATCATACAAGTGGGTACGCCTGGCGGTACATTCGAGCGTCCATGTCTCTGGCGGGGTTACTTCCTCCCCTATCAGACGAAGGAAGCATGCTATTGGATGGTGGTTATATCGACAACCTTACGGTATCTCACATGAAGAGACTAGGCGTTGATACGATCTTTGCCGTCGATGTCGGCTCGTTGGATGACGATACTCCCCAGAGCTATGGCGACTCTCTTTCAGGAGTTTGGGCGTTTTTTAATAGGTGGAATCCCTTCTCAACAACGCCCAACCCGCCTACTCTGGCGGAAATTCAGGCTCGATTAGCGTACGTGTCCAGTGTAGACGCCCTGGAGCGTGCCAAAGCCATGCCTGGATGCTTATACATGCGACCTCCCATCGACGATTATGGCACGCTCGACTTTGGGAAGTTCGATGAGATTTACCAGGTGGGCTACAAATATGGCCAAGAGTTCTTACAGAAGATGAAGGACGATGGTGTCTTGCCGCTGGTCGAAGAGACGGAAGCCAAGAAAGCATTGCGCAGGACAATGGCACCTCGCCGCGCCAGTATTTAGAAAGCCTCGCATTGCCGCTCGGCAGATACATCGTGTGCTGGCCATCCATGCAAACGTGTTGTGATCGAATCAATAGCGGGCTCGACCAACCTTCAAGGTCATGCGTCATTCTGTCCATACAGCTCCTCACGATTCCGCGCATAATCTGCAAGACACTAGGTTCAAGGGTTTATCTTCTAAGTCACGAGTATCACCCTAGTGATTTTCTTCATGAGGGGTCAGGCCACCGCTGCTATGTACACTGTCCAATCCCGAAGGCGCTGCTTCGCTTTTCCGTGCCAGCATTGAGCATGTAAGGGCTATTGAGGAAAAACAACGGGACGATCTATGTGACGTCACTGGCACAGAATGACGAAAGGTCCAATTGCTGACCCAATTCGGCAATGCTGGATGCGTGTATCCACATGCCGAGGATCACCGCAGCTGCGGACTACGCATTGAAAGCCTTCAGAGGTGGAGTCCTCAGACATACCGCTCGAACGAGCCTTTTTCAGTTACGTAGGTGGCCAGGGCATCGTCGGGCGAGAAGTGGTATGCGGTGAGTGTCTCTGCATCGTTGGGCAGGCAGCTCCATTCGACGCAGCACATCGATGATCGCTTTCGGTGGTCGATCTAAACGGGCTCTGCTGAAATACTTTTAAAGCCTTAGCTTTCCTCTCCATGGGCGTTCAGGTTATAGCACCCAAGAAAGCAACTGGTCTAGCGGGCGACCAATCAATACTACACAAACTGTGCATCAGGGTCGACTGCCAGGACCACCAACACGTTTGACGTACACCGACCTCATCCCTCTACTTTTCATTGCTGTACCGGAGCAGGGGCTTTTCCTGATCCCCCATGGCCATCGCCCAACCTTTAGAAACGCGCGGAAACAAATAAGCTACTAAGCTACCCAGTGCAGCACCCGACATGTCGCGTTCGGCGAGACCTCACACAACGAGTGGCCGTTCAGGGAGCGTGGAGTCCAGTGCTGAACCAGGAAGAGATAGGCATCCCGCGGACTTCAAATTCAACTGGACCCCTGTCATCCTGGTTGGACTCATCAGCACTACCATGTGGGGGCCATTCAACCGGACGCTAGATAAGTGCAACAAGCGTCACGAAGAGGAAGACCGCATCGAAGAACAAAGGAGGCAGGAGCAGGAAGAGCACATGAGGAGGGTGGAGAGGAGACGTGCAAGAGCCCAGAGCATGTACGACTTTGAGGAGTCACAATTCAAACCATACCAGCGGCACGAGCGTGTGCAAGGCGGCACAATGGCAGGGGAAGAAGATGGAAACTGGCGGCGCCGGGGTCGGAGTGCAGTCGGAGGCCGGCTCGAAAGTGCCGTCAGAGCTGGCGGAGTCGAGCAACCCCAGCCTCGATGGGCGGCTGACGAAAGGTATGGTCGCGTCTATGAATATGAGGTTATTGAGGCACCAGAAGTAGATCGCCGGATAACGCGGCCTAGGAGGCGGGACAGATCATAATATATTTGGTGGCTGCGGGAGGGTTTCTGACTATCTCAAAGCATTCGATACAGGTTGACTTCTGATTCAATTGAACAAGACACGCCCTTTATTGACTTCCTAGATGATCAAGGTGCCGGACGTAGGATTGAACACTGCCCCTAAAAGGCAGGGTTAATGCACGCAGTACTCCGGAGTCTTGCAACACCGCATAACCACAAACCATGTGACATTCTTTAACGGTGGGTGGGATGAACGCGTCCTGATGTAGAGACGTTTTGCGCCACGCCCCCAGAACGCGGCACCCCTGTTCAGTCCGGGGACCCTGCATGACACAGTCGCGTTGTTGTCCCCTAGAACGATGTGGATTCCAGTACCATGTTTAGCGCCCATCACAGCAATCATCACCTTGCCCCCCTTCAACCGCCTTGCCTTGGAGGCCCCCTTAAGACCACCCTAGGTCATCGTCGTTGAAACGCGACAATACCCGCGTCCATGCCGCTCGCCATATCCACAAACCAAGAAGAACTTCGACCCACTGATCACATGCGACTCTCGAGGCCGACCGACCATGTCTTTTTCCTCAGAGCGAAGAGCATCTAGCACGAGACGCCAGTCGAGCACCAACCTCAGCCCCCGAGACCGCGATGTCGACCTGTCGCAATCATTGAATAAACTCTCCTTGTCAGCATCGCCTGCAGTCAGCAGAGCGCCGCGAAGCCCCAGTGCGCTGTCTCCTTACAGATCATCTGCTAGCCGGTCCTCGACCTCACCAGCGCCTGGAAGCACATCAGGCCGTAGCCCCTCTCTGAACAGAGCCTCTCCGTCCCGATCTTCCACACCCACGCTCCTGCGTAAAGCATCGACCAGTTCGCTGCGCTCGGCGAACGGACGTACTCCGAGTCAACCACCTTCTCGCCGCTCAAGCTTAGCCCACGTCTCCTCGCCATCCCAGACGTCTGCCGTCACGGAGGAACCCCCCCGACCACCACCGACTGCCAGCTCAGTCGCAAGCGAATACTTCAAAAACGAGTTGAACTTGTGCCATGTTCTCTCCACGACGCAGCAGACACACGCCGCTATCATTCTCTCTGACGCGTGCTACGGACATCGTTACTCCCGCCCCAAGACATCGCGCGCCGCCCTCAGCACTATTGTTGAGCGTCCCGAAAGAATCAAGGCTGGCGCCCTCGGGGTAGCCATGGCATACGTGCGCCTCGGAGGTCGTCATTGCGATGGCGACTATCCAGCTCACCCGAGGCTCGACCCGACCTCGATACCCACCATACCTTTCAAGATTCATAAGACGACGCGCAAGCTTCCACTTCTCTCGCCTGCCGTGACGAACGTGCATGGTTCTAAGTGGATGGAAGAGCTAAGAACCATGTGCCGGCTTGCCGAGTCTAAACTCGCCATGGGCGGCAAGGAGCTGGCGAGGCCGGAGAGCGGCCGGACTGGCGACACGGGCGGTGCTGCCAAGCTCCACGAAGGCGACCTCTACCTTTGCGCTGACTCCCTGGATGCCTTGGAGGGCGCTCTCGGGGCTGTCTGCGAAGCAGTCGATCTGGTCTTTTCTGATGGTCCGCGTCGTGCTTTCGTTGCAGTTAGGCCACCGGGTCACCATTGTTCCTCATCCTACCCATCTGGCTTTTGCTGGGTGAACAACGTGCATGTTGGCGTCATGCACGCGGCGCTAACTCACGGGCTGACACATGCTGCCATTATCGACTTTGATTTACATCACGGCGACGGTTCCCAGTCGATAGCGTGGCAACACAATACCCGTGGTGTCTCTGCCGCCAAAAACGCGCAAGCGTGGAAGAAGACCTCCATCGGCTACTTCAGTCTTCACGACATCAACTCCTATCCTTGCGAAATGGGTGACGAGGAAAAGGTCAAAAATGCCAGTCTGTGCATTGAAAATGCCCATGGCCAAAATATGTGGAACGTACATCTTCACTCGTGGGGCTCGGAGGCCGAGTTCTGGAAGCTGTACGAGACAAAATACACTGTCATACTCGAGAAGACACGCTCTTATCTGCAACAGCAGGCCGCGCGCTTGCGCGCCAATGGCCAGATGCCCAAGGCTGCCATCTTCTTTTCTGCCGGCTTCGACGCCAGTGAGTGGGAAACCAAGGGTATGCAGCGTCATAATGTGAACGTGCCCACCGAGTTCTATGCACGCATCACACAAGATGTGATCAGAATAGCCGCGGAGGAGGGACTGGGTGTTGATGGCAGAGTCATCAGCGTTCTCGAAGGCGGCTACAGCGACAGAGCGCTGTTTTCAGGTATTTTCAGTCACGTCTGTGGCCTTGCCGGTGACCAGTCGAACCCTGGACCACCAAGTGGTCGAGGGGGCCTGGCGTATGAAATCAGCCACAGGATTGGCATCATAGAGGAAGGGGAACCTGCAGTTCAGTCAACCAAGCCCGCTGGACCGTACGAGCCACTACCCGAGTCGCAAAACCTGTCATCGCTACACGCATATGACCCATCATGGTGGTCGAGTGCAGAGCTCGATAACCTCGAGGTTGCCATGGGGGTTCCTCCTGTTGAACCCAAGATGCCGCGTTATGCGACACCACCAACCTACTCGTCCCCCACACAGGCGTCGACAGCTCGAGTTGTCAACCCTGCCAAGATGCGTCGAAGCCTGTCAGGTCTTTCGGCACCAAATGGACCCATCTCCCGACCTCCAACGCCTCCGGCTCCCGAGGTGCCGTGGACTGTTGCTGCGCATGAACTCAGCAAGTTGCTCATACCCTCTGACCGACAGACCGACAGCTGCACGGCCGAAGATCTCAATGCCGAGGCGACCCGGGCGCGCCGGGACCGGCAGTCCCTCCTCCAGCCAACAGTACCGGCACCAGCAACTTCCGCGAACGCTAGTAGCCGACCGTCGTCCCGCATGTCGTTGCGTGAGCGCAAGCCCGCCAAAGCAACGGCATTTTCCGAAAGCGGCAATGGCGCGAACGATGACAAGCACCTAAAAAGTCGCAGAAAAACCGTTGCCGGAGCTGCTATTCTTGCCACGGACGAGGTAAGTCCTTCGCACTTGAATGAATTGGGTCAAAGCGGCACTGACGCGTGGACAGCCATCTCCTGGAGTGTCCCCCATTCCTGCTGCTTCACCCAGCTCTCAGAGGACTGGCCGTCGGGTGAGCGCGGCCTCGATGATGACCACTATACCTCCTGCCCCCGAACCGAACACAGCTCGCGGCAATGGGGGTTCTCAAGGGGAATCTTCTAGTGCCAGGCCAGACATGCTGAAGAGTGGCAGGGCACCTGGCGACAATACTTCACTCGCCGTAAAGAAGACGAGAACGCCAACTGCCACCAGAGGAGGGCCAAGCCGCGGACCGCGGGGAGGTAAAAAGACTACGAACCCCAGAACCGAGCCAAATACCGAGCTTGTCAGGCCTGTCGGGCTTACTCAGGCGTCATTGCCTAACCATGGCCGGCAGGTCTCAGCTCATCCGCCAAGTGATGATCTGGACAAGATTACAACAGGCATGAAAAAGATCAAGATCAATCTCATTACGAAGTCTCAGAAGGAGGAAAGAGCGCGGTCGTCACAGGCAGCGGCAGCGACAGCAGCAGCATCAGACACCCGACCGGAGCACGGCTCAACAGGGGACCAGTCTGCACCTCAACCTGCTTCCGAGTTTCTACCTCAGCCAGACGTCGCTATACCGCCAGTTGTTGATGAGACGACTTCGGCTCTGGCCGTTGGGGAAAGTGCCAAGCCCCAGCCGGCATTGACAGTTAAGCCTGCGATAGGTGCTCATGAGGGCCCAGTGAGCGCGCAGTTTCCGCTTTCTTCAGACGTGCCTGAGCACAAGGTTCTGCCGAATAATTCCTTTGCAAGGCCGGCATCTTTTCAGAAGGCACAGCAAGACGGCGCGGACCAGAACCCTGCACTGGGACTGACTTCTGATACGAGCCCGGGGATGTTTGTAGCTTACCAGGCAGAGGGCCCTGCACCATTGCCTGTACCGCAGCAGGGGTCGCTGAGATGGCTTCCGCCCAACACCTCAACACCTGCCACGACGAGGCGGACAGATCTTCCCGTCTTTACCTCGACATCCGCCATTCCGTTTGCTGCAGCACAGAAACACTCGCAATCAACGGCCCACGAAGAAGGTCTCCAAGAGACAGGCGCGAAACGAGAGCAGCCACGTGAGACCTAGCATTGCCATCTCAAGGCGAGACGCAATTCGCTGGAGCTGGTCAGGAAACCTCCTCCCTTCTAATGTCGCCTACAGACATGGCGTCGCAAGGATTACTTTTCTTTTCGTTCGTGTTTAGGCTCCTATCTTCGCAAGTTCCCAGCTGGTGGTGTTGAGTCTGGGTAGTGAGTCTGAGCTTTTAATCGGATGTTGCTTAGATGCCATCCCTTGATACCCTTTTCACGCCTCTGTCTGCTACTCATTCTATCGAGCGAGGGGCTAGTGTGCGCTTGCATTTCTTGCAATTCGTTTGGTGTGGCCTGGCACAGTCACACAGACATGGCAGAGCGCCACTGGTCAGCTGTCGATGGGGGAGGGTACCCCTTTGAGTTGTAGTGACTTCGTATGGATATCATGACAGGGAACATGATCAGGCACGTTGCGAGGATGACTGGTTGAGATTTGTCGGTGGGGATTGTCTGAATAAAAAAGTGGGATAGCGACTGGGTGAGCGGGGGCAGTACATACTACACCTACCGTACCGACCTTATCTAGGCTAATTACCCTACCTAGGCAACTTTGTCTTCACATGCGCCTGCGCGCGATATCGCTGTCATGACCACCAGCCCCGACATTGCTTACCACCGCGCACCCCGTTCTCGCCTCCACCATCGTCAGCAAGCAGTGTGACCAGGCGTTGGAACTGTGCACGATTTCTCCAGCTTGACAACATGGCGTTTACCATGCACTCGCACTCGGGGCAATTCTGCCCCGGGCATGCCAAGGACCAGCTCGAAGACATCATTCGTCATGCCATCAGCGTGGGATACAAGACTATGGGCCTCACTGAGCACATGCCCCGACTGCAAGTCTCAGACCTGTATCCAGAAGAGCTCACTGGCGATCCCGACGAGGCCGTCGCTGTGCTCACACCCCGCCACGAAGCCTACCTCATCGAGGCTCAGCGCCTGCAGGCCAAGTATGCCTCCCAGGTCCACGTCCTGATCGGCTTCGAAGGCGAATGGTACCGCCCCGCCTACGGACCCTACATCACGACCCTCGCCGCCCACCCAGCTGTCGACTACTTCATCGGCAGTATCCACCACGTCAACGCCATACCCATTGACTACGATGCCGCCACGTACGCCCAGGCACGAGAGTCGTCAGGCGGTACCGAGGAGCGCATGTACGAGCGCTACTACGACCAGCAACACGAGATGCTGACCGCCCTGCGGCCGCGGGTTGTCGGCCACTTTGACCTGATTCGCCTCTTGAGTGAGGATCCCGGACGAGACGTGAGCGCGTGGGCCGGCGTCTGGCAGCGTATTGTGCGAAACCTCGAGCTTGTCAGGAGTTTCGACGGCTTGTTGGAATGCAACAGTGCCGCCCTCAGAAAAGGTCTGGCCGAGCCGTATCCGAACCGTCTCATCTCCGAGGTATGTTGAAATGGCTATGTATTCGTCCCGCAGTTTCCTCCTTTCCCCTTCTCTCTCCCTTTTCTTTTTTTTTTTTTTTTTTTTTTTTTTTTTTTTTTTTTTTTTGCAAACACTAACCACACCAGAAATGGTTGTCCATGGGAGGACGCTTTACCTTTTCCGATGACAGCCACGGCATTGACCAGGTAGCGACCAACTACTTGCGCAATATCGAGTATCTAGAGAGTCTCGGTGTATCGACCGTATACACTTTGGAGAGGCTGGCCCCGGCGGCATCATCCACTCCAGGCACTAAGGCTACGCTCGCTGAGAAGCCGGTATTGTTGTCGACCTTTCGGGAGACGCTGGCTCTCGGACAGCCGTAATATGATGTATCGCGCCTTGACATGCGGTATTGCTGTTTTCGAATATTGATCTCATCCTGTATATAGTCAACTGGTGGGCGGACTGACTGGATCGTCTCGCCCGTGTCAGTCCTACCAGGTGCATTTTCGAGGGCCGAAAGCAAAGCCGGCATCTAGAGAGACGGAGCGGCAAAGCCCGGCTGCGGAGCCCCGCTTTTTGTGAACCGATACTATGTCCCTCTGTACAGGACCCGTGACCATGACATGAACCCCTCTCAGCTTGCTCCAACTGTCATCCTTCTCTCATCGTCAGCTCGAAGAAATTTGAGGACATTGTAGTTGGAAGATTGGCTCGCCACATCGCACATGATGAAAATCACAGCCGTAAGACTCTCTTTCCAACGCGTAGCATATTCCCCTCAATCTCACCGCCTTCGTTCCCTAGCTCTACGTGTATCCCATCAAGGGCCTCCGCGCCATCCCCTTGACCACGGCAACCTTTACCCGGCAGGGCATTTTGCACGACCGCACCTTTATGCTCCTCAAGGTCCTTGAGTCGGGGTCGCTCAAGCGGATGCAACTGTCCGACTTTCCGGCCTGCGCGCTGTTCGAGCAGCAAATCGTGGACGACACGATCCGCGTGCGCTACCACGTCCCCGACGTGCCGCTGGCGCCCGACCATCCGCTGCAGCACCAGCCCCTGAGCGTGCCGCTGACGCCCGAGGACCTCGGCTCGCTCGACGAGGTCGACGTTGACCTGCACAACAGCCCCGTGCGCGCCCGCAGGGTGGGCGACGCGCAGGACGCGTGGTTCTCCGCCTGCTTCGGCTTCCCGACGACGCTCGTGTACATTGGCGACGGCCGCCGCGCCGTCGTCGGCCCCAACTTTCTACCGCCCGGATCCGGCGCGCCGACAAAGCCCAGCGCGGGCTGGCTGTCGGCCGTCTCGTCGTACGTCGCACATTTTACGCAGCCCACGGCGCCAGCGGGTGAGGAGGAGCAGAACGATGTCTGGCTGACGTTCACCGACTGCGCACCCTTTCTCGTGACCTCCGAGGCCTCGCTCGCCGCCGTCAGCGCGCGCCTGCCGCCCGACACCCCGGCCGAGATGATCAAGTTCCGGCCCAACGTCGTCGTCGACGCCGACGGCGCGAGCGAGTGGGACGAGGACTTTTGGGCCGAGCTCGGCCTGCCGGGCGACCGCCGCCTGCAGCTGACGGCCAACTGCGTGCGCTGCACGTCGCTCAACGTCGACTACGCCACGGGGCGGACGGCGCAGGGCGAGGCGGGCACGGTGCTCAAGAAGCTCATGAAGGACAGGCGCGTCGACAAGGGCAGCAGGTGGTCCCCCGTCTTTGGGCGCTACGCCTTTCTCGCGGGCCGCGACCCTCTGGTCGTCCGCGTCGGTGACGGGGTCGACGTCGTCAGGCGCAACGAGGAGCGCTCCGTGTACGACTGGCCCATGCACAGCAAGCCTCCAGTGACAAGGCCGGCGTGAGGGACGACGACGAATCCAATTGTACCCATGTTGCGTCGTCCACGCGTAACGTTGCGTTTGCGTGGCAGTGTGGTGCAAGCGAGCAAGCGAGCGCGGCATGACCCCTCTCTGACACCGCTGCCACGTCGCTTTCCAAAAGCTGGCCCTCTCTCGCTTCGGCCCGTCATCGATGGGTGCCAGATGAGACCCGATAGCCAGGCGAAAGGGGCGGCGGCAGCAGCAGCATTCTAACATGGCACGGCGTGGCATGCCGAGGGACACGCTCACGTGTCTTGTCAAGTGAATGGCCACGTAGAATTGTGTACTATGACATGACGTCAGGAGCCACACGTCATACGTCGCCTGCGTGTCGGCATGGAAAGGAGAGGCTGAACACTGGGCGACTGGTGATACGACATTGTGACTGATGCATGTACAGAGACGTCTGTGCAACCAAACTGGCAACCCAGATGTCCCACGCAAACCAACATGGCTCCACGCATCTTTGATCTAAGGGTACCTCATTGCCGGGATGTAACTACTTCGCATCAGGCGGCAGGTCTACGCAGCGGGATGGACCAGTCAGGATGTCGGCGGGAAGTTAGGCACAAGGAAGACCACCTCTTGCACGGTATAAGCCAATTATACCGGCTGTCCGAATCAAAACACAAACAACACGTAGCGCTAAGCATGTTCAACACCGAGAGGCAAGTTCTGTATTGTCATGCTACAGTACAGACAGTCTAAGACGGGGAAAGGGGTATGTATTCCGACTGAGGAGAAGAAAAAGGGGGGGGGGTATCGGACCAGAAACTCCAAGACGCAACGTCAGATAGGGCAGATAGAATTCGAGGGAAAAGAGCAGAGGGGGGGGGGGGAAAGGGCACATGAAAGCTTGCCCAGCCATGACAGCTAACAAAGGTTGTCGTGTTGTTGATGCCAGGCTGAGTCCAGGCAGTCGGGGCAGCGAGATCCGATGAGATAACACGCCAGTCGGATTCAAAGGGAAATGGCACCATGGGCCTGGTTGGCGACGCTAACCAGGCTCGAAGGCCCCCTGGAGCTGGGAGAGGCGATCATTCGAATACTTCCCGCCAACGTTCTTCGAACGCCATGGTGGGGGCAGACGACAAGGTGGTGGGTGGGTGGCGAGACCGGCTCGGACTCTGACAGGCTAGACGGACGACAGGAGATGGCAAGAAGTAGCCGTCAAGATACAACAACGGACCAAAGGGCAAAAGGGGCAGGGGGCAGAAGTGTAGATAACATCAAGGAGTTGACCGGCGTGGGCGAATAAAAGAAATAGGTGAGGTAAGGGTACAGGATAAATAGCAAAAAAAGAGGGGAATCGGACCAGAGCCAAAGGAGAGAGAGAGAGAGACAGCGAAAGGTACACAAAGAGGGGGCCATGGAGATCGCCAGTAAGCGAGGACGATGGTGGCTGAGGAGCGGCACAACCGAGTGACGCCCATGGCGATCGGCGACAGCCCGAGTGGTCCAGTAGCGGTGTCTGGGCCCCAGCGTCTTTCAAATGTGCCTGGCAAGCCTGGGCATGTTCAAGCCCTCCCCCCCCCCCACTCCTTCTGAGCCACAGGAGCCACAGCGGCCCACGTGCGCTGTGCAGGTCGACTGCAGCATCAGTGCAGGTTCCTAGAATTGGCGCCAGGCATTTCCCCTGTTGCCTGTTTGGCCCCCCCTGCCGGGTCTTGTACTGTAGAATCCCATGTCGACATGTTCATTGGCTGCGTTCTCGTTGTTGTTTCTCGCCGACTCGGGTCGCGTGGCTCCTGAAGATGCTCCGCGTCCGTGTGCCTGTCCAGCATCTCGTCAAGGTCTTTCTGTGATGCCGAGAGGAGAGGGGCGGAGTATGGAGCCTGGGCCAGCGGAAGTACCAGAGCCGAGCAAGCGCCATGTGGGTGTCTTGAGGGACCCAGGTCGACAGAAGGGGGGGCCGAAAGGATGTAAAGATCGAGCAAGGTCTGATGACCGTTGATGGCGCGCATGCTGACGAATGGATCGAGGCAAGAAAGAAAGCCTGCAACAGTGCAATTGACTGACCGAGTGTCCAATACACCAAAGCCGCGTAGTCGTGTCGTCCAGGTCGGGCAAGCGGTTCGGTTCGTCGACTCTGGGTCTCGGGGAGGGGCCAGAGCAGCTTGCCATGGGCAGATGAATGAATGTTCCTTCATTTCCAGGGCCCATGGCCAGTCGCGTCTCTCTCCAGTCGCAGTTGTCTTATCCACGTCGTCTGCCACACGTGAATATCCGAGTCAGCTTGCCTGCAGCACTAGGGCGCCAGCAAAAGAACTTTCTGAGGGAAATGAGCAGAAGCCACCGGGCAGCCACCACCCACCGCCCCTCCCCCGAAGGGCCCGACACGCACCCACAGGGCACGTTATCCCCCCCCTACCTCCTTCCTCCCCCGTCCGCCCTGCCGTTGTTCGTCCCTGCTTGCACCGCCGGGTGTCATTGCAGTAGTAGGCGAGCACTTGTATTTCCTACCGATCCAGAGTGGTGGGTCCACCCCGGCGGCGCTATGCAATCTGCTCAAGGCATGTGCAGAAGAGCGACAGGGGAAGCGCAAGGTGACGGAGGAGACAGAGGATGATAAGACAGGCGAGAGAATGAAGCAGCGTCCAAACGTACCTGCATTTGATGCCACAACAGAAAGAAGTGAATGCCCGTCCAATCAGTACCACCGTACGTACCCTCGAGGCCTGCAGTGGTTGAGCCTCGAGATCTGAACACCCCGCCCCCCCTAGGCGGCCCCTCTTTCAGACGCCTCTGGTGCATGGGCGGCACGTGTGAAGTCTGCAGTATTGACATTCAAAGATCCACCAGTGAGGACCAGAATGACAGAGGTTGCAAGTCCACTGGATCAACGTGTTATCCGATTTTATGAGCTTGAAGGAGTGTGCACATGCGCCGGCGACCGCCATCGTAGCCGCCTCGTGATAGATCTTGCGTCGTTGCAGGTGGGTAGAAATGTGTGTTTCTTTGGACCGGCAGCCGAGCCGACGGTAGTGGATTTTGACAGGCGCGGGTTTTGTCCCAGATGGGCACGTTCGGGAATCTGGGAACGAGTCAGTCAGGTTTCACCATGGCATGTCTGTCCAGTGTAGACAGCGCCGAGGAGTTGCACTCACGCTCGCAAGGCAGTGGTTTGTTCGACAACAGGGAGCCGCGGCAGGTTGTCCGAGGTCAGCGGAGGACACAATTCCAGGGTGTCTGACACACGAAATGTCCAGCAAGTCGGACTGTGTGTTTGAGACGCGAAAGCTCGGGAACAAGGGAACGGTCGCTTGGTTTTGTTGGAAAAAAATTAATGTCTTTTGCACTCGACCGAGGCAAAGCGTTACGGTCCTTTACTCAACAGCCAAAGCGTCAAGAGAATGCGGCTGCTCTGGGCTGTAATCCCATCAGCAGCGATGCTTTTAAACAAGGCCTTGCTCCAAGGTATCCCAAGGACGCCCTCGATTTGACAATCAAACACAGTGTCTGGCGGTGGTGCTGCTGCGAGGCGCCGAGAGACTGTTTGCTTGCT